TTAAGTTCATGAATATGGAGATGCTATACTATTGAAAAATGGAAACCAATTCGGAATGCCTGTTTCCTCAAATGTAAAATTAGAATGCTGGACTGGATTTTGTTCTAAATTAGTAGGACTTTTTATTCCTCCCCCCAAAAAACTTTAAATAGGTACTCATCTACAGAAAAACCCTCATCTGTGGAAACGGAAGGAGCTGTTCTGGGGAGCCAGCAAGTAAGGAACTGGGGCTCTGCCCATGTGGTTGCTTCTAGGGGGCTTCCAGGACCTTCAGGGTCCTGACAATATTCTGTAAACCACCAAACTAGATTTTGTTTGGCAGTAAAGTTCTAAAAATCATATTTAAGGAACACAGAAAAGATTTCAAATATTAAAACAATGCACTTTGTTCTTTATTTTTTGGAATATGAATTTGGTGCAATAGAAACATAAAATTAAACAAGTATATTTTTCTTCCATAAGTAGTGACTAGTTGGTTTTAGACTTGAAACAAAAACTGGATTTTAAACAACCATTTGGAACACTCTTAAGAAGGCACTACTGGGAGACGATAGTTGACTACAGATTTTCAAAATTAACAAACACTTACTGATTAAATTTGGAATGTAGAAGTTCGTTCACAAAATTTTCTTCCTCGATATGGGCAAAGCTTGCAAGATGAGCTCCAAATTCCTCACAGAAGGCTTCGGCTTCCCTCCATGACCTTTTCATCAGAACTTTTTCACTATGAAACACCTACACAGTAAGAGAAAACAGCATCATCGTGAGCAAGGCAAAGCTGCTGAATTCTTAAGAAAGTAATATAATTTTAATTACTTTTCTTTCTTTTTATCTGTATTTGGGGGTGAGGGAGAGGTGGGGGACTTCTTGCACGCTGAGCACACACTCTTACCACTGAGCTAGACTTCTAGCCCCTTCATTATTCTTCACTGAATTTTGATCTAAAGCAGTAACATATATTGAATTAAAATGCGCACCGTCGTTATAAAACTGTAAGCTCATTGTATTCTCTTTGAAGGTTTCCTTTTTACTGAACATCCAATGACTTATGTTTTCCCCTAATAAACATTGTCAAGAGTTAAGGAAAGCCAGGTTAGGCGAGGTTAAAAATTCCAGGTCACACACCTATAAACGGGCAGAGCTAGACTTGGGCGCATGTTGACTTGCTTTCCAGAAGTCATGAAATTTCATCCTAGCAGCATATCTTATGACAAATTAGAATTTATGGAATGACCATGAACTTGATGGATCCATCACAAGAAAGGAAAAACAAGGGCTAGGCCTAGAGCAGGTGTACTTCTAAGGTCTTTGGATTTTTGCTGAACTGGCAGCTCTAGGTATGTATCTAAATTTTCTTCTGTTTTTCATCTGTCCTTGAGGGAACAGGATAAAATTGGTTGACTACAACATCTGCTTTTGTCTTCAGATCACATGGGATACTGAAGACCCAGAGCTCCTGATCCTGGGCCTCTGTACCCTCCCTTGTTTGTACCAATCGACACCAAGCCTAACCTCCTGATGCTGTAGGTATGCCCTGTGGTCAGTCTTCACCAGGCTATGATTTGCTGAGACCAGAATGAATGTTGTTCCAAGTTCTCAGGACCACAGCATAGCCTTTCCATCTTTTAAATTATATGTCAAAACTTGCCTCCTTTGGGAACCTCTTCCTGAATCACTTTAAATTCATAAATCCTACCACCATGCACATCAAACACACTGCATTTGTTGACACTTCAGGATGATAGATAGTAGAAAAAGCACTGTACCAGGAGTCCCAAGACAAAGGATTTATTCCAATTCTGTCAATAAATAATTGTGATCTTGGGCAAATCACTTCAGCACACTGGCCTCAGTTTACTCATTTCTAAAGTTTAATGCATTGCTCTGTGAGGTCACATCTGGGCTTTTATTTGCAAATTTAGTGTAGGGGTCTTGCGTACATTAAATGGAATGCATTGACCAGTACATCCTGCACTAGACAGTGTCTGTGCAGTGCTGTCCATTCTCATCCTGCTCTACATGGGCCCAGCTGATGGGGAAGAACTTTCTCCCATGATTTAGAGAATCGTTACCTGTAGAACGAACCAAGACAAAACTACCAAATATAAAGGTCATTTTTTTTTAAAGAAAGGTATTCCTTATAAGAAAATTATAGGAATTGGTTCAAATCCAGGATCTAAAGCTGATTTGTAAACAGACATTTCTTCAAAGATTTCACATGATATATATATATATATATAATATGTTGAGTATTTTTAATCTGAAAATTGAAATTATGAAATGTGCTAAAACCTGAAACTTTTGTGATAGTGACACTTTTGCTTTCTGACAGTTCTAAGCAGACTTTGCTTCATTTTCAAAACACTGTATAAAACAGCCTTTAGGCTAAGTGTATATGGTATATATGAAACAAAGGAAATTTATATCTAGACTTAAGTCCCAACCCCAAGATATCTTATTACATATATATATAAATATTGCAGAATCTTAAATACAAACCATTTCCTGCCCTAAGCATTCATATATGTTTACATACACACACACACACACACACACACACACTCACACGTGCATACAAACACATACATATCAACTTTATATATTAATTTGTTTGATCTTTAGGTGCCTAGCAGACTCCCAAGTCTATCTTTAGTAGAAGAATTGTATTCTTTCAAAGTAAGTACTTTATTCATGAGCTTAGAAACATCACTGAATGGTACCCTTTTAATACCCAGAGTGTTGACTTCCTTTATTTGATATAGGCTTGGCAATAAAAGCAGCATTTATTGGTGCTTTGTATTTCTCATAGGAAGACAATTCCATAAATGACCCTGACTGACCTTGTTTTTTTTTTTTACCACTCTTGATTGCAATTCTGGTCAAGGATATACAGAGAATGTACCATCATAAGGGAAGGAAGAACTGTCTGTGTCCTGTCCAAATGGGGAGTCCTACATTGTTTCATTCAGAGTGGCCCCAAGAGGCTCCTGAGGTTTCAAGCCCAGAGAAGAGTGCTTTCAGAGTCCCTGGCCTGTGACTGTAAGCAGAACATGTGCAGAAGAGTCCACCTGCCACCTACTTTCCTGAGCCTTGCAGGGTAGGCTCAGAAAGATCCTAGGATTCTCCTGCTTCTTGCAGCCTACTACGAATAGTAAGTTGTTTTCCCTGACTTGTTTAAGTGTCTGTGTGCTGGACCCAGACACTGGCAGCTGAGTTTGTTGAAAACCTCCCATAGGAAGCAGGAAGAGTATTAGAAGCTGATTGGGTGTTTAGACTGATAACCAGTACATGGAGCTCTTCTCCCTAGGATTAATACCCATGCGTGGTATTTCTGCCTCAAGACATCAGTCTTTCAGGAAGAGACCTTCAGTGACACTGGAGCTATGTGCCAATTTATGACTTACACTTACTCGGAATATATAAACACAAAGAGGAGAGATGGGCAACAAATACTATGTATCTGTTGTGTACCAGGCACTGTGACAGAAGAAAGTTTGGAATAAAGAAATTTGGGATGCATGAATCAAATTTGAATAATGTTTGTATTGCTGAGAATACCCAGGTAGACATGGCATTACCTTGAAGCAACTGCCCAGACCAGACTTCGACTCCCAGTCCAAATAGCAAGGGTGAAACGGCCACCTTTCTTCATGCTCTGTTTTCTCCCTGATTTTGATTGGCTGCTTGCACAAGGACATTGCCTTGAAGTTTCTACAGTCCTTGACTTCCCAGCGTCCAAGTGGACTTCTTCCTCGCATTACAGCACAGCCACCACTGTAGCCTAAAAGCAGAAAACAAGCATTTTCGTATAAAATGATTAAAACATTTTGTGCTCCAAAGACATCTCTTCCATGTGCTGAATAATTGACATGTCATAATGAAGCACCAGAGAACAATAAAGATGAAAAAGGATGCTTTATTGGCACGATTATCTTATTTCTCTTCATCTCTGGAGAGAATGGAAGACAGAATCATGAGATTGAAAAGAGGCTGCGAAGCCTGAAATTTGGACATTGTCTGCTTTGAGCTCAGATGGCAAATGATGGGAAACGAGACACTGTTCCTTCGGGGCGCCGAAGAATGCTCCACAGCTCAGTGCTGTGCTTTGAAATCCCATGGTGAACATCACAATGAAAAGTGCATAGTGCTTGTCCTCTGAGAACGAGGTACATCAGGGCAAAATAGTCACATGAATAATGGATTCAAAGCAGACAAGAAACACAACAAAGATCCAAACCGTAAGCCATAAGCCATGGAGAATGGAGGGAATGAGATAAATTCTTGAAATGGGATAAAGCCCAGGGGGTTGGAAGCAGAAGCAGGGCTGATATCAAGGAAATGGAGGGAAGTGGCCTTAAAATGAAAAGAAAAACACAGAAATTTCATAGTTTTGTGTAAAGTATTGGAGATGAAGCATCTTCAGTTATAGACAAAGCTTCACTTGTTCTTTTATGTACATTGAACATGAATTATAGTTTTCTATTGAAACAAATATTTTTATTTTAATTAAGTTTTTAAAGACAAGGTCTTACTAATTAGTCCAGGTTAGTCTCATGTCCCTGTTTCCTGAATGCTGGGACTACAGGTGTGCACCACCATGCCTAGCCCGTAGAAACAATTTATAGCTTAAATTTCTGTTTTTTAAATATTTTATTTATTATTTTTATTTTATGTGTATGAGTGTATTGCCTGCATTTATGTGAGTGTACCCGTGTCGTGCAATGCCATGAAGGTCAGAAGAGGGCTTTGGATTCCCCTGGAACTGGAGTTAAGGACTGTTTGTAGCCACCATGTGGGTGGTAGGAATCAAACCCGGGTCCTCTGTAAGAGCAGTCATGCTTCTAACCACTGAGCCATCTCTCCAGCCCCTAAATTTCTTAAGTTTGTTTAAAAAAATCTTTAAAACTCACAAGATAATTGAAAATATGTACTTCAAATTTTTGTGAAGAGCAGTAGAAAATAATTCTATTTTCATTCTATAAGAATGAGCTGTTTTTCCCCCCTCAAACCCAGGGTGATCATTCAATGAACTAAACTGACATTCAAAAACTACAAAAAAAAAATGCACCAATAAATATGCCTGGATGTGCTCAAAGTTCTAGGGGAGACCTTGGAAGGAGCAACAGATTTTTCCTGAAGATATTCTGAAAAATTTGTGAAAAGTAATATTTGAGTTGACTTTTGAAGGATAGAAAAGAGGAATTTTCAAGGTGGACTTATAAGAAGTGATAGAGACTGGAGAGATGGCTCAGCAGTTAAGAGAACTGGCTGCTCTTGCAGAGGACACAGGTTCAATTCCCAGCACCCACATGGTAACTCCAATTCCAGGGGAATCTGACACCCTCTTCTGGCCTCCACAGGCATTGCATGATAAGAGTGTACTTACATACATGCAGGCAATACACCCATAAACATAAAATAAAAATAAATAAAACATTAAAAAAAGAAGCAAGAAGTAAACAATGCACCTGAAGATGTGACAGTTTCAGACCTAAGGGCGTTAAAAAAAAATGTAGTCTCTTGGTACTAGACATGTATGTGGCTTAATTTCCTTTCAGAAGAAATGGCCATTTAAAAATTTTAGATATTGTGTAGCTGGCATTATCCTCATGTGTATACATAAGCTTATGCATCAAACAGACCCATAAAGTGAAAATAACCAGTTGTAAAGGAGGAAATAAGCTAAGTATGGCTTATATGAAACAAAAAAAAAGTGTGGCTCCATACAAAGGCTATCAGCTATCTACAGTGGCCCAGAACATCTACTTAGTACTAATGATGGAGGATTGGGGTGGGAGTTGGGATGGGCAGAGGCAAGGGACAGAGTTCCTATGTAACTGTTTATTCTATGAATGAAATTTTACAGGTCTGGCCGGTATAACTTTGGAATGAGGCCCACAATCTCACTGGGTCTTGAGGGATGAAGGAAAGGTGAGTGCTTTCTGCAATGAAATGAAACTGTGGAGAACCACATTGAAGCCCCAAATGTAATCAAACATTTGTGGAGCTATTCTAGTTCAAAGAGGATGAAAAACATGTACTTCTCGCCCAATTCCCTCATTCTCCCCTTAAGGAACCTTAGTGGAACTTCCATTTACTGCAGAGCACAGCTGGGAAGCTTTCTAGAAAGAACTTCTAATTTGGATTCTGCAATCTGGGATTCTAGTCCCAGTACGAATATTTAATAACTTGACATTTGAGTACGTTAATTAACCATAATAAATCTTGTTGAAAGTATATGGATAAATCCTTTTCTTCTCATGGATTTTCATGAAGAACAAATAAAATAATTATTAAGAAGCACTCTGAAACACAAAGAGCTAAAAACATCTCTATACGTCTTACAGCCGCTTAAGCTGGGATTTTTGTGGCCCAAGTTCTGCTGTGTTTTCAAGGATTTTTAAAAGGTTTGAATCAGCAAGTTTAAAATGTAATATACTTTTTTGTTGGCCTTGCATTTCGTCTCACTTTCCGGCATTAGACAATGATTAACTAGCTCTGGTTTTAGATGCTGTGGATATTCAACTCATCTTCATTAGTAAGGAAGGAAATGTTTGTGGCCCTCCATGAAGATGGAAAGTGCTGCAAGAGTGTTATTGGTATTCTAAAGTGGTTAACTTAATGTATCATTTGACCCAAATTTTAGAGTCTCAGCCCCAAAGAAGCAGTAAAGCAGTGTAATAAAGGGAGACTGGGCTAAGGGAGATACAAACTGAATTTATAAGCCTCTTTCTGGGGAAGCTGGCCAAGCCAAATGATAAGGGAGGGGTAGGGGAAAGGGCAAAGGCCGGTTTTCTCCTAAAGAAATTGCTCTTTCGTTGGATAACTCAATCCCCCTGGGTAAAAAGAAGCTGTCATCCGTGTCCTTATCGGTGAATTTTGAGTCTCGCATTTCAGTGCATTCTTCTGACCCGCTTACCTCCCTGCTCCCCTGCACTATCTTCCTCAAATAGCAACGGAAACACTTTCTGTAATTAAGAAATTCTAATTCACTATTCTAGACTGTTCTGTGTAACACAACTAATCACAGGAAATAAATTGAGCTGGGAAAGCCATCACCTTTGACCTCTCTGGTCATATCTCTAAATGTAAACAAACGAATCAAGCTAATTTGTGGCCTCAGGGCAGGAGGGAGCTGTGCTGGGTTGCAGTGTCTCCAGCAGTTATTTTATTTGAGCCTGTGGTTATGTCGCCAGTCCTGTAACAATTCTCTCACATCCTCATCTCTCATGGCCTCTACCTGCCTCACCTTTCCTCTTCCTTGTTCTCTCCCTCTCCACAGAGTACAGTGAAGCTCTGGGCAGGGAAGGTGAGCTTCATGGCCTGCTTCACATCTACCCAGCACTGTGAGAGGCACTTCATGCGGTCTTTTACCTGTTTAACCTAAAAAACCATATCGGCATTTTCAGATGGAGAAATTGAGGCACAAAGATTTTATAATTTGCCAAAGGCCACATAGTTAGTGAGAGCTGGGTTCAGGTCTTGGAACCAGATTTATCTGAGTCTAATTGTGAGATAATGTCAAGGCACAATGGGATGTATTCGATCCACAGTTGCTGAAGGAATGAATTCTGAGATTATGCTCCTTCTCTTCCACCCAGCTCTTTCCCATTCCACTGGTCATGATCCTCTCCCAGTGGGGCTACAGAATTCTCTTGAAGAGCTGCTGTCATAGTTTTACCTTGCACAGTAGCGACTTGCGTGATTATGAAGAGACATGGAAATGTGCAGAGGGCTTAGAAACAAGGCTGAGCCCGCCCTCATTGTGTGGTGGTTCATTTCAGAACTCTGAGGAGCCTCAAACCCTACTGTCCTGACTAGCTCACTTGACAAGTTTCTTAGTCCTCATTGTGAAGGGCACTTTAAAAAAAATATTATTTTTATTTTATTTTATGCATGCATGTAAGTACATCTATGTCGTACAATGCCCACAGAGGTCAAAAGAGAGAGTCAGAGCCCCTGGAACTGGAGTTTAGGGATGGTTGTTAGTCGCCATGTGGATGCAGGAACCTGGGTCCTCTGCAAGAAGAGTCAGTGCCCTTAACTGCTGAGCTATTTCTCCGTCTTGTGAAGGGCACTTTTAAGGGGAAAAAAAAGTCCACTTGTTCGTCTAGGATTCAGTAGTCTTGTGGCAGATTCCCATTGACTTGGAAGAACTGAAGCCCAAGTATCCACATGACAGATCTAGCTATGACCTAGAGCTGAAGTATGAATGGTTCCAAACAGTGATCTCAGGTGTTCTTTTTCTTTACTGGGACACCCGTGAAGCTCCTACATATCCCTGTAAGCTTTTGTACCATTTAAAAAAGTACAGACTCCCCATTTGCTTTCCCATAGAGCAGTCTCTAGTTACTTGCAATCTTTGATCTCAGTACAAAGTGCATTTCCATTTTACTGCATTAGTGTCTCTCTGAATGAGAAGCTGACTTACCAGCTATCTCCTTAATCAGCAATGGTGAGTGTGGCTCAAAATCAGGTTTCCTGTTTCCTGTTTCGCTTGAATAGTTTACTTCTCTCAAAATTCTAAAGCTATGGAGTTTTTTTTTTTTTTTTTTTTTTTTTTTTTAACGTGTACGGGTGTATTGCTTGCATGCAGGTAGGTGCACCCATGCAGTGCAATGCCTGCAGAGGTCAGAAGAGGGTGTTGGATCCTCTGGAACTGGAATTGTGGATGGTTGTTAGCCACCATGTGGTGCTGGGATTTGAACCCAGGTCCTCTGCAAGAGCAGTCAGTGCTCTCTACTGCCAAGCCATCTTTTTTCAGAAAAGGAAAACATCAAAATTATCTGGTGTTCAGAGAATTGAGAGTTTTGGCATAAAAGAAAGAAAATATAGATAAAAGACAGGTAGACAGGTTAAGTGAAAATTTTGTAGTCTTGAGTTCAAATTGAAAGCATCAATTTGCACTAAAAAAGCATTTCATTTTCACATGCATATCTATTCAAACAGCCTAGAAAAGAAACAAGAACAAACTCACAGTGAGCCTTCTTATGGCCAGATTATAAGAGGAAATAACACCACCACCACCAACAATCAGGACTTCTTGATAAAGGGCCAGAGAAGTATATCTTGACAATAGTCAATAAAGACCCTTTGGAAGACTGGGAGTGCCACATCAGTAGCACCTGGAAGGTGTCCTTGAGGACATCCCAACCCACAGTTGGGGCAACTCGAGCAGTAAAGAGTACAGTTGCAATAGATGCACACTGGTGTTTAAAATGCTTATGTCATAGTAATGCTGGAGAAGCCCCCCAAATCTGTATTTATTCACTTTCAGAGGAAACTAATGAAGAATAATCATTTTGGAAACTCAGAAAGGGAAAATATATTAAGTATTTATTCTGCCTCTCCTATAAAAACCGTACTACAAAGTAAACAAAATACTGATTGCAGAGTTACTTTCTTATAGAAATAGTTCACCTATAAATTAAGAAACTTTTAATAGGCCTGGGGATGTAGTTTGGAGGCAGAGGACTAGTAGGAGGCTAGTAGGACAAGGCCTGGTGTTTAACCTCTAGCGTTAGGGAAAAAGCAAAAACAAAAGAGAAAACAACAACCGACTCCTGGATCAATGGATCCACACATTGATCATTAAAACCTGCCTATGACAAAAGAGAGAAAACTAGACATTCTGTGCTTCCAGATGGAACATACAATTACCCAAGAGATAGCTTTTATTACAAAGTAAAATAAAACTTAATTTTGACTAGGTCTCTGATTCTAACTTTTTAAGAGGAAAAATGTCAATTTTGTAGAAAGTGAAGACAGACTAATACATTTAACTATATGAAGAGGAAGCTATCAACAAGTCATAAACTTTAGGAAAATTTATAAGATGAATAACCCATTTGAATCAGTAAAATGAAGTTTAAGAAAAAACAAAAGGGGATGCGTAGAAAATCTGGACATTAAAACAAACTTTAGGAAATTTAATTACAGTATGTAAATGTTATCTGGATCCTAATTCAAACAAACTTTAAAATAGCCTACATAATACATATAGGCCATTTAGATATTTGAACATTAGCTGAAGATTGATAATGTTAGGGAATTATGTTTATTAGTTTTAAATGTGAACATTGTATTATGTTTTAACAGAAGTCCTAGTTTTTTTATGAGAATATTGCAATAATTGTGGGCAAAATGATCTGATGTCTGGGATCTGCTGTGAGAAAACATGGGACAGGGCTGGGGTTAGAGCTGAAACAAGACTGCCATGACTTGATAATTGCTGGCATTTGGCAGCTCATTATACTATTTTATGAACACAATACAAAGTAAAAAAAAAAAAAAAAATGGCAGAGCTATGATTCCACCATGGGCTGCCTGTTTTGCTGGCATACCATAAGCACAGCCTTGGCTGAGTTTATAAAAAGCTACAGGCTTCCTGTTCAGTGGTCAATTCAGATAGTCAGTTTATGCTGGATTAAGAGTTTGACATGGGGCCCAAACTAATGGATTCTTTTGTGACAGGCGGGAAAGAGAATGTGATTTAGGGTGGTGTTGCTACAAGCTGCAATTTAAAAGGAAAAGAAAAACAGAGGGGCTTTTATATTGCTATTTTCCCCCAAATGATTTACATTTTCATCTTATTCAGAGACAATTTACTCAATGTCAATCAGCCCGGTGCAGCCACGCTGAGCATCACAGCATTATTTTTGCTTCAGGGAAAAAAGAGAAAGAGTAGTGCCACTCAAATAAATTACAGCAGAAACTTATGAATGACAAGGAGCTCTGCTTCATTTCCAGACTTTAGACATCTAAATATGCCCTGAGGAAGTTAACATTAAAACCAAAAATTTTGTCTGCTCAAAATGTATTAATTTATTTTGACAGGTATAGACATTCCTAACCAAATTCCACAGGATATAGAAATGATCCTTGAGCAGCTATGTCTCTTTTCTTTCTTTTAACCTCAAGTGGTCCAAATGAATATTTTCAAAACATTTAAATCCTTCCTTTAGGGGTTTGTGATTTTCAGGGTCCTCACAGGGGCCCAGGGCAAAGGCCACATATCCAGAATGGATGGGTTTGTAATCCTAACATGCTAACCAAGCTATTTTAGGTAGTTTTAAGCAAAATCCTACATATTCTCTGCAATAAGAAAAGCTAATATTTATTATTTACCAATCATCAGAAACTATGCAAAATTTCATTTAATTCTCCCAATAACTCTGAGGTAGCTGCTGTTACCATCCTTATCATGAAGAAACAGAAAAATGAACTTCCCTAAAATTAGACATCTGTGATTTCACCCATAGGTGACTCCACATGGGTGTTTTTTACATACCAGCTATCTTGCAACGTGGTTTCTCATGTCTGTTAGTATCGTCTTACTCAGTATCTTTGATGAAGAAAAGGTTTTTTGTTTTCGTTTTTTTTGAGACAGGGTCTTACTATGTAGCCATGGGTGGCCTGGAGCTCACTTTGTAGACCAGGCAGGCCTCAAACTCACAGAGATCCACCTGCCTCTGCCTCCCGAGTGCTGAGATTACAGGAGTATGCTACTATGTCTACTGCAAGAATCATCTTTTTGATTTTTGTGGTGTTGGGGATGGCACCTAGAATCTCATGCATGCCAGGCAAGCACTCTACTACTGAGCTATGTTCACAGACATGCATTTCTGATTCTGATATGATCTTGATACAAAACCTTTAATGGCATCTAATACCTAGAGAATAAGTGAAAAATCTTTAACTTAAAATCTAGAGCTGTGGCTTCACTCCTCTCTGGCTGTATGCTTCCTCTCATTTCCATATATCTAACCCTCTAGTTGCATAGAACTACAAACTCTCAAAGATGCCGTACTCCCTTGGCTCCATGTTTGTTCAAATTCTTTCCCATATCCATCAAATCCTACCATATTTTGAATTGGAGATGAATTAGTATTTCCTCTTTGAACATTTAAGATAACCGATAATTGCTCCTCCTTGTTTTAATCATGAGCATGCTTTATTTTTATACTTCCTACCACACTCACCACATGTTTCTATTGCTGTGGCTTGAATGGCTGCATCCTTCAAAATTTGTATGTTGCCAGTGTAATACTTAAACTGTTGACTTACAAATATTGATCTAGAAAGTCTCCAAATTAAGGATTTAAAAAAAAGACTGTAAATATAGAGATGATAAACACCAGCAGGTTGTCACTAGTTAACAATGATTATTTCTGGCTATTGGTGTTGGGAGGTGAAGAGAAGGATATAGCAGAGGACTTCCACATTTTATTTAGTGTACTTTCCTCTCCTAGAGTATCTATGTAACTAGTATAAATTCATCCCCACAAAAAATTGCTAGAGTAAAATAGGTGCAATTCATTGCTATAAGACAGTAGATATAGATTGGAACTGGTCTGGGCAAATGGGGACATATAGTTAGACACATTATCCATAGTGAGACTATATTGACAACTTAATTGTTTAATTGTAAAACCCAGCAATACTTTGCCAACCATTATCTGGAACTGGAATTAGGAAATCATCTTATACTGGACTTCTGTAATAATGGGAGAAAATTAACTCAAATAAGTCAAATTGGCTTTTCTTTTTTCTTTTTTTTTTCAGGGGGTTGTTTGCTTATATGGGGTCTCCATGCAGTCCAGGCTGGTCTCCAACTCCCGTGGAACCCAGGTTAGGCTTTAATTCATGACCCTCCTGCCTCAGGCTCTTTCCCAACTGCTGGAATTATAGGCATGTATAAAATGCTTGCCTTGTGTGGTGTTTTTCTATCTCTTTTCAGCTTAGTAAAAACTATCTTCAGTTTGGTATACAGACCTCTAAAGATGGGATAGACCAATTTGTACAAAGGTCTTAGAACCTTTTGAGAGGAAAGAGCCTGAGCCCCCTCACTCATTTCCTCCAGATACAAATGTAGAGGAAATCTACTGCCTGCTGTGTATTGATGGAGCATCACCAGCAAGAAAGGAACCAAGACTCCCACATGTGTTCCTATTGAAATAAGGAATGTTTGGTGCGGCTGTCACCCTTAGTTTTAACAAGGAACTGAAGCTTGTTTTTACACTGCTTCTAGTGTAGATTGTGGTTGGAGGCACGAGCTTCTTTGGAACCTGCCAACCTGGCAGGGACTGATGCTCTGGGACCCAGAGCTACACACATGAGGATGAACAACTAATGGAAGTGCTGACTCTGATCTTGACTGAGGACCTTCAGACATCTACAGAAGAAAAGCAGTAAGAACTGTATGTTACCAATGGGCCAACATTCCCCCAGAGAAGCCGTGCAGAGATGCCACAGTGACATGAACTGATTAGACGGCTCACTTCTTGTACCTGGATCATTCTAGAATGAGTAAACCCCTATGATTCCTTGACCATGAGGAAGGTCTGGAGGGAAAGACACAAGGAGGGAAAAGTTAGAAACTGGGCTTTTGATAATTGGAGCAAGTATGATCTCAAGCAATGGCTAGACCCCTGAAAATGCCACATGATGCATATAGACTTTAAAATGATCACCGTATGTCACCCCTGGCAGACCCATAGTGACCATTTTAGTTAAAGTAGGCATAAAGAAAACATTGAAGAGCAATTGAAGGAGGTGACAAAGGGTGAAGGAAATTTGGGACCTAGAAAACAGAAGTCAGAGTGAGGGCAAGCTGGCTTTGCAGACATCTACTCACTGGGCTGATGTGTGTTCCAGTGTGTGTACTGCACCGGCTCAGATCTCTGTCCTGTGGTCTTCCAAGTGTATTCTCCTGTATCATTTTGGTCCTGAAGAGCTATCCAAAAATAACTGTCTTTTGTTTTTGCCACACTACTGATCAAACTGGTAATAAAAGCCTGTTCAAACCTTGAAAGGGGAGAAAAGGAAACGGTTATATTAAGTTTCTGGACAATAAAAACGTCGTTAAAACATAATGAAGTGCACAGAACGGCAGTAGAGTAAGCATTTCTTGTTAATTCTCTAGAACACAGAGCAGGAAAATACATGAACACCCTTATATTGCTAATAGATGCCAAATGTCAGTGCAGTTCTCAGAAACACATGAGCAAAGGTAATGTGACTTACAAACTTAATTCTGGTAATGGTTTTAAGGAAAAGAGTCCAGGTCTGCTTCCACAGTATAGTGGCAGCCTCCACATACACAGCAATACATCTCTTGGAGAAAGATATCTATTTTATAATTAGCCACATACTACATACTGTATCATAATGAACATGTGTTACTGGAGACAGGAAGAAAGATGAAGGACATTATGCTTTTCTGAATGAGCATTTACTACCACAGGGCTCATAATGGCCACTCCTCACACTGGCTTGGCAAGAAAGGAGGTAGAGAAACATTTTTATGGCCCCCAAATTAGTCTGTTCACAGACATATGGAGCCCCTGGCTTATTCAAATGTGTTCAAATGTGCATTTTCACTAAAGATATATTTCAACCCTAGGAACAAATCTAAGACCGTCTACCAACTAGAATTTTCCCCAAGCAGCCAAATGAATTAGTGTCCAATGATTGGTGGAAATGCTCACTTTCCAATATGAACACATTCAAAGTAGATCTAGAAACAGATATGCACTTCCAAATATAAATACAACTAAATAAAGATCATGAGTATCAAAATTTAGCTAGCCTTGAACTTAAAGCTTAGCTTGAAACTATCTTAAGAAATTTATTTTCAAAGCATATAAAGTTAGAAGAAATTTCAAACAGTGGGTGACTTCTGGCTAGATCTCTGAATCAAAAGGAAATATAAGGCTTGATAAAATTATCCAAGAAACCTAAGAGGAAAGTAAATTAGATTTTTAAAATTCAGTTCTGGATTCTTTGTATTACATGCATTCTTAACTTGCTAAGGGGAGCAGAAGCGACACTAATGCTTAAAAATAGAGGAACCTCAAAGGAAGTATTGGAGGAAGACAGGAGAACAAAAAGCAAACTAAGTCCTGCAGGGACACCTCAGCAATGTTCAGTGATCAGAGGCACCCATGGTGCTCACCTGGGCAGAGAATGAGGGTTCTTCAGGCTTCAGTAAATATTTTCTGCAAATGCTCTATCAATAACCAAAATGGCACACATTGAAATCAGGAAAGTTCCTTTTAACCACACCTTAGGCAAACCTTACACAAATGTGCTTCTGAAAGAAGATATATAAAGCTGAACACTGTTTAGACACTGTTATCATTTTCCTTATTCTTTATTAGTCACACTGTCATAACAGCATGATGCCATAATGGAAGATCTGCACCCCTCTGGGGCCTGGAATTGCTGTTTTAGAGGTTAGTAAAGTACACCCCACAGGTGCTGTTGCTAGGGACCACTATCACTGTGCTGGTGCTAAGCACAGGAGTGGCTGGGTTTTCCATTACTTTCCTCACAGCATTAGCAGACAATACTGAGAAATGACCTTGGCTGTAGACTTGGCCTCAGGTATCATTATTTATGACAACAGTGTTTTTGTGCCCTGTTGGTTATAGATTTATTTAGTCCACTCTGATTTACTACTTTATCTCTGCCACTGCTTGAGATAATAGAAACATGCTTTTTATTTGTTAAGTATATTTCTAAGGAGTGCAACTAATACTCAAACATTTAATTCTAAAACTTTCAGATCAAAAACAATACTCGTTTTCTTCATCCAGTTTATAAGATGGCACCATTAGTAAAATAATTAAACAAATGTATCTTTATTCTAAACCAAATATAGCCTTCTAAACAGTCTTTAAAAGTCTGGATAAAGTGCATGATCTTGTACGAGCTCTTGAGTATCTGCTTTCAGTTGGTAAAGAAACAAGATCACATTTTATGTTCTTTACCACTTATTGTCTGGCTTCAAACACTAGACAGGTTATTAAAAACTCCAGTTATAGGGGGCTGGAGAGATGACTCAGCAGTTAAGAGCACTGGCTGCTCTAGCAAAGGACCTGGGTTTGGTTATCAGCACCCACATGGCAGCTCACAATGGTCTGTAACTCAGGTTCCAGGGAATCTGACACCTTCTTCTAGCCTCCTCAGGCATTGCATGCATGGTGTGCTTACATTCATGCAGGCAATACAGTTATATAAAATAAAAAGAAATAAAAAAAGTAAAAACCTCTGGTTACAACAAAATAGAAGGTAACCTTTCAAAGGTTTCAAACCTTTATGTAACCTTTATGTCATATGGCCATTTTGCTTGATTTTATTGATGTTGTAGTCAAATGCTGTTACAGTTTAAGAAACCAGGAATCATCATGTATGTACAGTTTTATATTATCAGTTGAATCAGGACAGAAGGATAGTATGTTACATAGAGAAAATTCAGTGAAGTAAAAAGAAAAGCTAAGCAAAGTATTCCATTTACCATAGCACCCAAAAATGAAATACTTAGGAATAAAGTTAAATAAGGATTACAAAGTCTTAAACACCAAAAATTATATAATGCTGAATAAAGAAATCAAAGACACAAAATGAATGGAAAGCCAGCCATGCTTGTACCTTAGAATGCTTACTATTATCAAGATGTATGTACTTCCATATCAGATCATATTTTCAATGCAACCACTATTAAAATCTTAATGACCTTTTTTTTTTCAGAAATAAGAAATTCTAAAGTTTATGTAGATTTTCAAGGGATCTTGAATAACCAAAACAACCGTGAAAAAGAATGAAGTTGGATGTTTCATGCTGAGGTTCTGATTTTAAAACTTACTCCATAAGTACAGTAACCAAAACAGTATTGTACTGGCATAAAGATGGATGTATAGGTCAATAGAATAAGCTAGAAAGATCACAATAATATACCTTGCATACAAGATCAAATAATTTCCATTGAGGGCATCAAGACCATTTGATGTGAACGTTCAGTCCTTTCAACAAGTGCTGTTGAGATAACTGTATATGCATTTGCAAAGTGGGACCCTTAGCTTACATCATGTACAAAAATGAACTCAAAGTAGATCACACACTTAAACATAAAAGCTAAAATTGTAAAATTTCTTAGGAGAAAACACATTGGAAAACTTCATGGCATTGAATTTGGCAATGATGTCTTGGATACAATGCCAAAAGCACAGGCAATAAAATAACAAATGGATAAACTGAGCTTCATCAAAACGAAAACCTTTTGAAATTCCAAGAATATCATCAACAAAATGAAAAGGCAACCACAGAAAGAAGAAAATATTCTAAGTCATGTATCTAATAAGGGTTTAATATGCAGAATATACAAAGGACCACAGTTAAACAACAGAAAAGCAAATACTCTAATTTTAAAAAGGGAGAAGGCTTGAATAGAAATTTCTCTAAAGAAGATATACAGGTGATCTACAAACACATTAAAAGGTGTTGAGCAATGCTAATCATCAAGAGAAATAAATTACAGCTATGACAGTCCATGTCATACCCAGTTAGATGATTACGATAATAAAACAAAATAAAGTGAAATAACAAGTATTGCTCAGAATGTGGAGACATTGGAACCCTGTGCACTGTTGGTGGGGTATGAAATGGTGCCATCATTATGGAAAACAGGGTGGCATTCCCCAGAATATTAAAAGTGGATTTATCACATGATCCAATAATTTTCCTTCTGAGTATATACTCAGGAGTTGAAAGGGAGGACTGGAATTTGCATATTCATGTTCAAAAACAGCATTATTCAAAATAGTCAGATGATGGAGGCAATCCAAATGTCTATTGATGGATATGTTGAAAAACAAAATGTGTACATAATAGAATTTTAATTAGTCTTAAAGGAAATTCTGACACAGGCTGCAATGTGGATAAATCCCAAAGGCATTATGTTAAGTGAAATAAGCCAGAACAGCAAAACAGATATTTCATGATTCCACTTCTATCCAGGACCTAGAATGGTCACATTTAACAAAAGAGAAAACAGAAAGATGGAACTTGAGGTATTTATTGCTGAATTAATATGGGGGTCTCAGCATAGGAAGGCAAAGTATGTTCCAGAGACAGATGGTATTGATGCTGCAGCAATGTGAATGCATTTAAGACCACCAAAGTGTCACTGAAAGTGGTAAAAATGGTAAATTTTATGGCACATGTTTTACCAAATTAACTGAAATGGTGTTTGGTGGGATATGGTTATTTCTAGGAAATGGCAGAACTATACAGATGCTTGAAACAAGGCAAACTTAAACCAAGGAGAATGTGAACTACTACAGTGTTTCTCTCTTGGGGAAAAAGTTACAAAATCAATTTTCATTTGTATTGTTTTGTACTGAAGTTCCTATAACTGATTGGTTCATGTTTCATTGACTTGGGTGTCATGCATGTAGACTATTTGTGGTAACATGCAGTTCAAGTTTTGCATTTCCGCTGTGTCTGGAAACAAAGTGACCAGACCTGAAAAAGCTTTGTAACAGTAGGCCAACAAATCAAAATCTGTTGTTTGGCAACAAAGGTCTGTTTTTCTTCCTCTCCATATTCCACAAGGTGTTAAAAAGTCCTACACCAGAAGCAGTTGCCCTATAACAAAAGAAATAAGTAATTTGTAGCAGGTTGGTTTTAATTGCACCCATCAAATCTGTCGCTCCACCAAGCAGAAGAGTGGAAAATCAATTAGCAGCTATAAGCCTGGGAGCTGGAGAGTGGACTGCCTTAACTCATACGGAAGCTCCCTAATGGAAGAAAATGATTCCCAAGTCTGCTTGTAGCCACTTCTGGGTTTGGGAACAGTGCCCCCACACTGTCCAGCTTTCTCAAGCAGGAAATATCACTGGAGAACATGCTAACACGTATTACTGGAGCTTCTTCCTTGATGGGATCAGAAAAACAACAACACAAAAGACCACCACTACTACCAAGAGCACAGGGGCCTTCCTTCCCTTCCTATGGTGGAATTATTGCTTTGGATGCGGTCTTGTTAGTGGAGGTGTGAGCAGTGCTGACTTAGAAATTACATCACTGATCTCATATAATCCTGTAAACTTGCTTAGGGACTGGGTGGCGTGCCAGTGCAAGGCAACCTGGACGGGCCTGGTGGCTAAAATTAAGAGCAAAATGTTTATCTATGCCACACTTCTGCTTTGGAGTCTGACCGTACGGGAGTGTTGGCTGCTAAATATAGTTTCTCCAAGAAAAATTTTCAAGTGTTCGTAATATTCTCTTGTATCCGGTTTGGGAGAAATGAGACATTTCTTCCTCAGAAACCTCCCATCAGTTGAATGAGGTCCCCCAACAGCCGGTAGAGTGTGACACATTTGAACACTAACATTTCTGCCCTGACTTGGGTCCCATGGGCAGTCTGAGCAACTTGTAATGCACGTTGGGTTTCCTCATTCGTCCTGTTACCCACCTTCTTCACGTGTTTCATGTATGTTTGTTCTGCCTCTTGAGCTTCTGTTCTGCAAGAGGCACAGTTACCTCAGTAAAAAATTTCCTAATAAACCCTTGACTATTAATTTTTTGCATGGTAGGATAATGTGTGAAAAGTAATTAACACCAAGTAGGGTATGTGACAGGCACTCAATGAATATTCAACAAAAACGAAAACAATGAGACATAAAAAATAAAGGAAACAATTAGATTTATTTCCTTCAATGAAAAACATTGGGGTTATAATTAACAAAGGAGTCTAGTCTCATTGGTCAGCCTTCTGTACTGTCTCACTGGGAGACTTGTGACCCAAAGTGCTCTTGGAACTTCTGGGGTGGCCTAGCAAGCTGAGGAAAGACAGGTTTCCTTCTCCCTGGAGCTGTACCTGAGAGGGAGACAGACAGCACTGAGATGCAGGAAAGCTAGTGCTGTACCACAGTGAGAGCCATGATGCTGTCAATCCATCCTTCAGGGTGTCAGTCCCTTCCCCTGAGCATGAGCACAGTCCTGAGCACTGTGTGAAGGAAGAGGTGGAAGGAGAACAGACATACCAAAGCCTGTGGATGCTGACTTCCAATGTGGGGAGAGCAGAGAAAGCATGCAGGACCCATCTGCAAATCAGACTTGTGTGTGAAGCATCTCTAGACAAAACTTAGCATCATCTACTCTCTTTCCTGATAGTCAGTGGAGGTTTCTTACTTCTATTTATTTATTTATTTATTTATTTATTTATTATTTATTTATTTATTTATTTTGTTCTCCCTGTAGCCCCAGTTGACCTGGAACTTGATATGTAGACCAGGCTGGCCTTGAACTCAGAAAGATCTGCCTGCCTCTGCCTCCTGAGTGCTGGGATTAAGGCATGTGCCACCACACCTGGCTGGAAGTTTTTTATTTTTCATTTGAGTTAGGGTCTGGCTATGCTGCCTAGACTACTCTTGAACTTGTATTCAAGTGATCCTCCTGTTTCACCCTCCCAAGCAGGTGGGATACACTCAGCTTTTCAGTGGTATTCACTATCTAACCCTGACTAGCCTGGAGCTCTGCCCTACCCCAACCCCTAGTGCTGGGATTAAAAGCATGAATCACCAAGTCTGGTTCAGTGATATTTTAAAAGGCAATGGCCCTGGCATGAGGGCAAGTGACCCACTTCATTGGTATAGTTTCCTGTGGAACCACTGAAGAGCTCCATCCTGCGTCTGACATAGGCATGAAAAGAGATGGAGGAATTGGTCTCCCAGCCTTCACTGTTCTGTCCTCCACACTGATATTGACAAGAACCACCTTTGTTAGAGGTCTTTTGTCCCCTTTCACACATCTATAGCATGTTTCACTTTGTATAGAGTACGAAAAGGTACCATCTCTCTGTTAGTGTCAGGAAGATGCCTGTGCACAGAGCAATCAACATCTAAATAAAATACTCTTAAGAAGCATTAACACGTCCTTTACTTTCTTTATATTCCTTTTTCTGTTGAAAGCAGGAGCAACACAACTTATAAACATTACATTTAAAAATACTGTTCAATGACATTTTCTTCTCATTATAAACAGAAGACAAAAACCAAATACAATTGAATATATTATCAAAGCTAGATAATTAATGAAATTCTTGAAAAGTAAAAGTCATCTTAAAATTTATTACTTGTCATTCAAAAATCAAGTTAGAAATAACATCAGATCTAAATTCATCTCAACAAATACATGAAATCATTTAATATTCTACTGTACACATTCTTTAGGTTTGGACAGGCTTGCAATTACCTGCTGGTGATGGTTGCGAGAGCAGGAGGACAGTAATAACCGCTGGATGCATGCTCAAAGCTTCGAAGCACTGTGTCAATTTTGTAGCAAAATTTACCATGTCTCTCCCATCCCTTAAAAAATGAAAAGGAAAGGAGACCTTAGCAGACCACCTGAGAGTGCCTGGATCCGGCCTCTACCTGGTGGTGAGATTCCTCAAATCACGCTGCTGTGCCCAACCCCCTGCATTGGGACCACATGAGGCCTCTCCCACTTCACCAGGGTTAGACCTCTGTGGCCTACAAGAGGCCTGAGACCTTAGCAGACTGCTTGACAGTGCCTAAATTGGGTCTCCCTTCAGCAAACTTCCTAAATTGTGTTGTGAGTCCCCACTAGTAAAGGTCCAGATATTAGAAGGAAGCCTGAGTGTACCTGACTGGAGCCTGACTTGTGCTTTTGTGGGAGCTCCTGAGTAGCTGATCTGAAGACATCAGTTTCCTCCAATATAAAATCTGAGAGAACCTGAAACCTATATACCCAACAAGGAAACAACCAAGGCACACCAATTATACAAAGAGAAACAGATTTCAACTCAACAAAAGAAGACTTGAGTTTCATACCAGAATCACAAACAACAAAGGAAACCCACATGCCAAAATCACAACAGAAAAATAATAATATGAAAAACCAAAACTGCATGTTCCCATGAAACTCCACCAGTCCTGTAGAAGAGATCTACAAGGAGAATCCCCCTAGAGATAACCCAGGATGCAGAATTTAAAAGAAAAATTGTAAATATGATCAAGGAATTCAACGAATTTAAAGAACATATGAACGAACGAACAAACAAAACAAACTAAAAGAAGATAGGGATAAACTTCTGACTGAATTCACAAAAGAGATAGAAATATTGAGGAAAACTCAGGCAGAAATGAAGAAGGAAATGAAAACTCAATAAGCCAATTTGAATCAACAGAAGAAAGCCTCGCCGATAGAATGAATGAAATGGAAAACAGAATATCAACAATGGACAATAAAGTTGAAAAATTGGACTGCTCAAGCAAAGATTATGAAAAATTAAAAAATAAACACAGGAATGGAATTTGAGGGAAATGTGGAACACCATGAAAAGACCAAATCTATGCATCATATAGGTATAAAGAAAGGAGAAGAATTTCAAGTTAATGGTGCTGACCAGATCTTAAACAGGACTGTAGAAGAGAATTTCCCAAAATTAAGGAATGACATCCCCATACAAATATAAGAAGCACATAGAACACCAAATATACAGGGCCAGAAAAGAAACTCTTCACAGCACATCATAGTAAAAATATTAAACGTACAGAACAAAGAGAGAATACTGGAAGCTGCAAAAAAAAACCAAGTCACACACAAAGGAAAACCCATCAGAATTACAGCTGACTTTTCAGTGTAAACTATGAGAGCCAGAAGAGCCTGGACCAAAGAATTCCAAGTTCTAAATGATACCAACCCAGAATACTTTACCCAGCAAAAATGTCTATTATAGTTGAAAGAGAAAGAAAAATATTTCATGACATGAATAGGCTGAAAGAATACATGTCCACAAAACCAGCCCTTCAAAGAATACTTGAAGCAATACAAAGAATGGAGAAAGGAACAACTATACTCCAGGGGCAACAGAAAGAAATGAAACGAAGGAATAATCAATGAACTGAACTCCCCAGTCAAAAGGCACAGGCTAGTTAAATGAGTTAAGAAACAAAATCCATGTTTTTGTTGTCTTCAAGAAACCCATCTCACCTTCAAGGACAGGTACTACCTTAAGGTGGAAGGATGGAAAAGAATATTCCAAGCAAATGGCACCAAGAAACAAGCAGGGGTTGCAATTCTAATATCTGAAAAAATAGACTTCAAACTAAAACTAATCAGAAGAGATAAAGAGGGCCACTTCATTCTGATCAAAAGAACAATTAACCAAGAAGATATTACAATCATGAACCAAATTCTGGTGCACCCAAATTCATATAAACAACATTACAGGACTTTAAGACACAGATTAACCCCAACTCAGTAACAGTAGGGAACTTCAATACCCCACTGTCTCCATTAGACAGGTCAACCAGACAATGAATAAACAGAGAGACGTCTGAATTAAATGACACCAAACATCAAATGGACCTAATTGACATCTTCTGAATATTCTACCCAAGCACCAAAGAATACACTTTCTATTCAGTACCCCATGGAACGTTCTCAAAAATTAACCATGTGATGGTGCAGAAAACAAATCTCAACAAACACAAAAAATTGAAGTAATTCCACGCATTCTATCAGACCTAGTCACTACACAAACTCATGGAGATTTAACAACACACTCCAGAATGATGAGTGAGTCAAAGGAGAAATTAAGAAAGAAATAGAAGTATTCCTGGAATTCAGTGAAAAGGACAACACAACACAACAAAACCTCTGGGACACTTTAAAAGCAGTCCGAAGAGGGACGTTTACAGATAAAACGTCCTAAGTGCCTACATTAAAAAAACAAGAAAGAGCACAAATAAATAATTTAACATCAAAGCCCAAGACTCTGGAAAGGTAAGAACAAATGAAACCCAAATCCAGTAGACAAGAAGAAATAACAAAAATCAGAACAGAAATTAGTGAAATAGAAACAAAGAAAACAATACAAAGAATCAATGAATCGAAGAGCTGGCTCTTTGAATAGCTAAACAAGATAGACAGACCCTTAGCCCAGTTAACCAAAAGAAAGAAAGAGCAGATTTAAATCAACAAAATCAGAGATGAAAGCAGAAACATCACACCAAAAGATCCAGAACATCATAAGAGAATACTTTAAAAACATATACTCTATTAAATTTGAAAACCTTAAAGAAATGGATGGATATCTGAAATCATGGGAACCACCAAAGCTAAATTAGGAAGAGATCAACGGTTTAAACAGATCCATAACATATAAGGAAATTGAAACAGTAATACAAAACCTCCCGACAAAAAAAAATCCCAGGCCCAGGTGGAGTCACAGCAGAATTCTATCAGACATTTAAAGATCTGCAACCAATACTGCTTAAAGTATTCAAAAAGATAGAAGCAGAGGGAGAACTCCCAATTTCCTTTTATGAAGCCAGCATCACTCTAATACCAAAACCACAGAAAGACACAACCAAATAAGGAAAGATCCATATCCTTAATGGACATGGATGCAAAAATTCTCAACAAAATACCTGCAAACCACATACAGACACGCATCAAAAAGACCATCCACCATGATCAAGTAGGCTTTATTCCAGAGATGCAGGGGTGGTTCAATGTACAGAAGTCAATAAACGTCATCAATCATATAAATGGACTCAAAGACAAAAACCACATAGTCATCTCAATAGATGCAGAAAAGACCTTTGATAAAATTCAGCATGGGTTCGTGATAAAATTCCTAAAGGGAATTGGACTGGAGGGAACATACCTCAACATAATTAAAGCTATATACAACAAACCCACAGCCAACATCATTCTAAATGGGAAAAAACTGGAAGCATTCCCATTAAAATCAGGAATCAAAGATGTCCACTATCTCCACTCTTTTCAATATAGTGGTTGAAACTCTTCCTAGAGCAATAAGACAAGAGAAGGAAATTAAAGGAGTACGAATTGGAAAGGATGAGGTTACATTATCCCTTTTTGCTGATGATATGTTATTACACCTAAGAGATCCCAAAAATTCTACCAGAAAACTCCTAGAACTCATTGGCACTTTCAGTAAAGTGGCAGGTTACAAAATTAATCTACAAAACTCAGTAATCTTTTTACATACCAGTAACAAGCAATCAGAGAAAGAGTACAGGGAAACCCTCTTATTCACAATAGCCTCAAATAAAATAAAATATCGCCAAATAAACCTGACCAAAACCATCAAAGATTTCTACAATGAAATTTTAAATCTTTAAAGAAAGAGATTGAGGAAGACATCAGAAGATGGAAGGACCTCCCATGCTCATGGATTGGAAGAATTAATATTGTGAAAATGACCATCCTACCAAAAGCAGTATATAGATTCAATCCAATCAAAATCCCATGACATACTTCACAGAATTAGAAAAAAATCCTTAAATTCATATGGAAGCACAAAAGACCCCAGATAGCCAAAGCAACCCTGAGCACAAAGAGCAATGCTGCGGGGATTACTATACCAGATCTCAAACAATACTACAGAGCTATAGTCATAAAAACAGCATGGTACTGGCACAAAATAGACACAGAGATCAATGGAACAAAATTGAAGACCCAAACCTGAGTACACAATGGAGTCAGCATACACAAGACCCATGTAAACTTAAGCAGACAAAAACTCAGCACAGAACTGTGGAAATGAACAGCAGGCCCCAATCTTAATTAAAGGGTTATTGGCAGCTGATTACTGCTGTGTGAGAATGAGCTGATCTTCTTAAAGGGGAGAACTCTAGATAGACTGACTAGATCCCAGTGGATGAATTTGCACTGAGAGACATCTGGGCACAGTAACTTTACATGGTAGACCTTAACATGAATAACAGAAGGTATGCATTCCAGTGTGGGTAGGGGGCTATGGGAGGTGCCAAAGGGAAAGGGGGTATGAAGATGATTTTCTCTATGAAATACACAAAATTCAATAAAAATAAAGTAAAAAGAAAAATTAAAGACACAATTTGATTTAGTGAAAAACTAAGAAAGCTCCCCATCCCACAGTCTCATTAATCTCATTAATCATGTATACATCTTTTTTTAGGACCCAATCAAAACTCCTTGAATTTTTGTCTTGCTCACTTGATAATCAGTCTGCCTAGAATTACCATCAGCTGTAGACACTTCTATATTTAGCTAGTTCCTTATTTTATGTTTTTAAAATTTAACTAACTTAAAAACTTAACCACAAATGAATATAAAGGGAGAAACATTGTAAAACAAGCAATAAATAAAGTTGTACTCGCTCAAGAAATACCATTCCTTCCCCTCTTCAAACTCACGAACTCTTCCAAATGGTTTCTACATTTGGGTAGAGAGTCAGAGTGATGTTATGGAGGGCGAATGCTGCATTGGTTTTAATCCTGGCTTCCCCACTAGGCCACTTCATTTATAAACAATGAATGCATTTTAAGAAATCTATTTTCTCTCCAACATCTAGTCTTCTCAGCTGTTAAAGTGGGGATAATTCTTATAAGTTGTCATGAGACTTAAAATGAGATAATGCAGGGAGAGATCTTTGCCTAGAGCCAGAGAATTGGTAGGTGCTATGAAGACATGTCCCTAGGTCGTATGGTTGTGTTATAGATTGTTCAGCTTTCTTTCATGTTGACTGTTTGAGGTTTTACTGCTGAGACTCATGAGATTAGAGACTTATGTAGAGTTACTGCCTGCTGTGTCAACTGGGCCTGGAATACAATGATATCCAGTTCTTCCACAATCCAGGATCGTTCTTGTTGTTGCTGCTCTTGTTGTTTTGAGCCAAGATAGCCCAGGCTAGCCTGGCCTGGCATCCCTCAGTTGCCCAGGCTGGCTCAAACTTGTGATCCTCTTGCCTTGGCCTCCTGGGTGTTGGTATTATTAGAGCATTGAATTCAGCTAATGTAATTGGCTTGTTGTTGTAGTAGTTTGTTTCTTTTTTCTGCTATGGTAAGGGTGGAACCCAGGGCTTTTTTTGCATACTTGGCTAGCATTACCACTGTGCTGCACCTGCAGTACCAGTTTGGTCTTGTCTGGATCATAATGCTTCCAATTAGAAAACAGCCTCCAAATATATAGTCACATTATTCCTAGATTAACTGGTTGACATTTGGAGGAGTAATAAAGTAAGTTTGGGCACTCAGACAAAAATGATATATGTATAGGTTAGCGCTGTTGGAGGCAAGGAGGGGCTCTGTTCTTTAAAATCATATGGTACAGGAGACAAATATGCATTCAAGTTCATCTAAGTTATTTCAGTTCCTTTGCTTTCAATATTATTAAATCATTCATATGTATCTAGCTTTACTTATTCATCAGTTTAAAAATACTCTTCATTTTGTGCCACACTGATGCTTGCCAGGTCTTGGTCAGGCACAAAATAATTTCTAAAATATTTCTTGCAAAAGGTCTCAGTTTTCAGTTAATTACAGAATACTTTAATTTAAAAATCAGCTATTTTAGTTGAAAAACACCCCAGGACATCAGCAAATCACAGAGCTCCTGCATCCATTAGGGGGCTGCTCTGGTTTCCTCCCCTTCATTCTGCTCCCAGGTGTCAGTGTGTAATGACAGTTCCAGACTGAGTCTCCAATGGCATCACTCCAGGACCGGAACAGGAGGTTATGCTTTGTTCTTGGAAGGATAGGTAGAGAGAGACTGACACTTTGACATTTCTGACAATGTATTTCTTATTCATTATTAGTTTCTGGATCAAGCCTGCTTAGCAAAACAAAACAAAACAAAATAAAACAAAACAAAAGAAGGCACAGAAACAACAACAATCCAAGCACTGAAGAGTCTCAAGACAAGGAAGGCAAAAGAAGTGACCTAGGAGCATGCAGAGAACAAGAGGTTGCAGAGTGCTTATCCCTGAATAGGACACCTATATCAACCCCCCACCTCCATGCCTGGGGATCATTGTGGAAGAGGAGGCAGAAAGATTGTAAGAGCCAGATGTGGTGGATGACCATATAGAAACAGGGATCATTGTGGAAGAGGAGGCAGAAAGATTGTAAGAGCAAGATGTGGTGGATGACCATGTAGAAACAGTTTTCCAGACAGCTGGCCAGTTACTCATATGAACTCACAGCAATGGTGACAGCATGCAAGAGTCCCATGTAAACTCAAACCAGACAAAACCCCAGCATAGATGTGGAAAAGTAGGTAAGAAACCTGAACACTACCTGAGGAACTATTGGAAACAGATGGCTTCTGGGAAAGGGAGAGTCAGTTTTTTTAAGGGTGAGACTCTGGGTAGGTTAACCAGGCTTCAGTGGATGAGCCCACACCAAGGGCGTTTGGGGACAAACACCTGACTCTATGGGTTTTAGTATATACACAATAGAGTACATGAAATTGGGGGGGGGGTGTCTAAAGATTAAAATGTATTGTATGGAATTCGTAAAAATTCAATCACAAAAACTGGCATAGTAGTGACCAAAAAACAGTGAGTATATCAGAAGCCCTCACCTGCCTGAAAGTGAGAAGAATAATTGATTGTACTGGTCAGTCCTTTGAACACTAGGTGCCGTTCCATTTTTAAATGAAAGGATGATGATAGTAAGATGGAAGCACCACTCACACTGTCTAATACATCCCCAATATAAATCGCTTTTCCCCCTTTGAGGTAACCAAGTCTAAGTCTTGTGTGTGTGTGTGTGTGTGTGTGTGTGTGTGTGTGTGTGTGTGACAGGGCCTTGCTATGAAGCCCTGGCTGTTCTCAAACTCATGATCTCCCTGCTCAGCCTCCAAAGTACTAGGGTAGTAGGCAGGTACCACCATGCCTGGCTCCATGACTGATTCTGTAAATTAATTGTACGTGTGCAGATTACTCAGCGAGTTGATTGAAGCAATGAGTTAAAAGAAACGAACATTAGGAAATCATATTTATAGGCTGCTACAAAATAAAATTAATGATTTTCCATAAAAATAGAGAACTGACTCTGAACTCAGAATCCAAATACTGGTGATGCTGGCCAGAAAAGGGATCAGTAAAAGAAAGTTCAAAGAGAATCTCTGTTGTTTCTGCTGTGTAGGAAGTTAATTGCTCTTGCAACAAAATAACCCATGTTGAGCTGCCTTGAGAGCCACAGTAAGGTAGAGATTAGGTCAGCAATCAGCTAAAATTAATGCAACTGTGGCACACATATTGTCTAGCTGGAATGTGAAGGGTCACTCATTGGTTTACACATTGATGAATGAATAAAGCAGTTTCTGCAGAGACAGATCATTCTTTAGTTGGACTATAAACGAGTGGATTAGAAAAGAAAGTAATTAGAGTTGTATAAAAGCAATGTTTGTATCATCTTAGAATATAGCCTAAAAATTAGAGAGAGAGAGAGAGAGGGAGAGAGAGAGAGAGAGAGAGAGAGAGAGAGAAGAGAGAGAGGAGAGAGAGAGAGAGAGAGAGAGAAGCACTGACACTGAAAGGTTTTATGCAACTTTACTATAAGATAGTAAATATGGGCTGGAGAGATGGCTCAGTGGTTAAGAGCACTGGCTGTTCTTGCAGAGAACCTGGGTTTGAATCCCAGCACCCACATGGTGGCTAACAACCATCTATAACTCCAGTTCCAGGGAATCCATTGCCCTCTTCTGTCCTCTGTGGATATTGCAAGACACACTGAAAGGTTTTATGCAACTTTACTATAAGATAGTAAATATGGGCTGGAGAGATGGCTCAGTGGTTAAGAGCACTGGCTGTTCTTGCAGAGAACCTGGGTTTGAATCCCAGCACCCACATGGTGGCTAACAACCATCTATAACTCCAGTTCCAGGGAATCCATTGCCCTCTTCTGTCCTCTGTGGATATTGCAAGACATGGGTGTACTTATACACATGCAGGCATAACACTCATACACATAAAAATAAATTAAAAAATTAAAGATAGTAAATAAAGAAATTTAAAATAGAAAAAAATCCTACTTTTTAGGTTTAAACCTAAAGTAGTATCTTTTATTGAAAGTATCTAAAAATACTTTGTCATTTACACTAAACATATCTTTACCATTCTTTTCCCAAATAATAAATATATGATGGGCACATACTTCACCATCACTGTATTGTACTTTAATATTTAGGTATAAGAAGGGTAAAAACGAAGGAAGGTGCTGACAGCAGAGGTTCACTCTCTGCCTCTAAGGAAAGCATCTGCTTTCTCTCTGGCATCCCACTTGAGAACCAGGAAGACTGCCTGTGAGAATGGGCATCACAGAATCATCATTTGTACAGAAGGAGTAATAGAACCTTTTATGTTTTTATCTCACGAAGAGCAGTCTTGAGTCATACTGACCTCTTGACATCCCGATTCAGCATCAGGCAGGACTTGACCTGCTTTCTTACAAATGTAAAACAGTGTTTCTTCACAGTTTTTCACTTTCCAGTATCCTTCCTAAAGGGAAAAGTTGCAAGATGAATGTGAATACTCCATGAGGATGCTGACGGGCAACACCAATGATGATGAACCAAACCATAATTAATAACTGTTCCCAGTGGGATAGCGTTTCAAAACCCTGCCTGGTCCAGCAAAGGACTGGCAGCCTCTCGGTGCCTGTGACACTTTCGTGTGCAGTCCAGAACTGGGGGACACAAGGGAGGAGGAACTCCTGTTTCTTGGTTGCTGCTATGTGCCAGGCTTAATGGTGGGTGCCTTTCATATACCTCAGTGCTCCTGTGATGTAGTGGTTCTTGTTACTACATCAAAGCTTAGGTTTAATGCTTTGCACAAGGCCCTATAGCCAGTAGAAAATTTGAACTAGGCTTGATAACTGGCTTTGCATTAAACTACTCTCATTTTTCTTTTGAAAGATGGGCTAGAGTAGTGGTTTGCAGTCTTTAGAGTGCTCCAGAATAGCTGGAGGTGCTCCTGACAAACTGATGAGTGTGCCTGCAGCCCCACTGACTGTTTCAGTGGCTCTGCTTGAATTCACATTTGTAGCAAGGTTTCCAATGATGTTGGCACTGCTGGTCTGGAGATAGCTCATTAAGAGCCTCTTGGATGAAGTCATCCCTCTGACCGAGAATGCTGCTTCCCCTCTCCTACCACCTGTATGTGCTAAAACACAGGCTTTGCTGCTTTCCTAAACCCGATGCTGAGGGAATACCTGGAAACTTCCATGACTCATCTTCAGTGAGGAATTCATGTTCAACTCCAACTCTTTCCTCACTGTTTTGGAGAACCACCCAGATTCCTTTTAAACCATTTAATTAATTTCAGTTTTTGAGAGTGGGTCTCACTATATAGTCCAGGCTGGCCTGGAATTCACTATTGTAGCCCAGGTCTGCTTCCAACCAGCAATCCTCCTGCTTCAGCTTCCCAAGTGCTCAGATTATAAGCATGATAGTACTAGCTTCCTTTTCTTTTCTTTTTCTTCTTTGGTCTGTGTGTGTGTGTGTGTGTCTGTGTGTGTGTGTCTCTGTCTGTGGTGTCTGTGTGTGTCTGTATGTGTCTATGTGTGTCTGTATGTGTCTATGTGTGTCTGTATGTGTGTGTGTGTCTGTGTGTGTCTGTATGTATCTGTGTGTGTCTGTATGTGTCTATGTGTGTCTGTGTGTGTCTGTATGTGTCTGTGTGTGTCTGTGTGTGTCTATGTGTGTCTGTGTGTGTCTGTATGTGTCTGTGTGTCTGTGTGTCTCTGTATGTGTGTGTGTGGCTATGTGTGTGTGTGTCTGTATGTGCCTATGTGTGTCTGTATGTGTCTGTGTGTGTCTGTGTGTCTGTATGTGTCTATGTGTGTCTGTGTGTGTCTGTGTGTGTCTGTATGTGTCTATGTGTGTCTGTATGTGTATCTATGTGTGTCTGTGTGTGTCTGTATGTGTGTCTGTGTGTGTGTGTCTGTGTCTATGTGTGTCTGTGTGTGTATGTGTGTGTCTGTGTGTGTCTATGTGTGTGTGTCTGTATGTGTCTATGTGTGTGTGTGTGTCTGTGTGTGTGTGTCTGTATGTGTCTGTGTGTGTATGTGTGTGTGTCTGTGTGTCTCTATGTATGTGTGTCTGTGTGTGTATGTGTGTGTGTCTGTGTGTCTTTATGTATGTGTGTGTGTGTCTGTATGTGTCTATATGTGTCTGTGTGTGTCTATGTGTGTGTGTGTGTCTGTCTGTGTGTGTCTGTGTGTGTGTCTGTATGTGTCTATGTGTGTCTGTGTGTGTCTGTATGTGTGTGTGTCTGTGTGTGTGTCTATGTGTGTGTCTGTGTGTGTCTGTGTGTGTCTGTGTGTGTCTGTGTGTGTGTCTGTGTGTGTGTGTCTGTATGGTCTATGTGTGTGTGTGTGTCTGTCTGTGTGTGTGTCTGTATGTGTCTATGTGTGTGTGTGTCTGTGTGTGTGTGTGTGTGTCTGTGTGTGTGTCTGTGTGTGTGTGTCTGAGTGTGTCTGTGTGTGTGTGTGTCTGTGTGTCTGTGTGTGTCTGTGTGTGTGTGTCTGTGTATGTGTCTGTATGTGTCTATGTGTGTCTGCGTGTGTCTGTGTGTTGTATATATATGTTCATGTGTGTGTTTTGTGTACAGGTGAACCTGTATGTGTATTTGGGTACATGTGAAGACCATATATTAACATTAAGTGTCTTCCTCAATTACTTTCCACCTTGTTTTTTGAGACAAGGTCTCTCACTGATCCTGGAATTGACTAGGCTGGCTGGTCAGCAAGCTTCAGTGATCTGCCTCTCTCTGCCTTCCTCCCCAGTGCTGGGTCACAGACATGCCACCATGCCCAGCTTTTACATGTACCCTAGAGATCCTTGAAGAGGAAGCACTTTATATCCACTGAGCCATCTCCCCAGCCCCAACTTCCTCTTCAGATACCTAAAGCTCCTCTTAGATCTTTTGCTGATAATGATACAACTACTAATAGATTAAAATTCTATGTTCCCAAATGACTTACAAATTTTAAAAACAAATAAGAACCTTCTGTTAAAATCACTCAATTCCAATTTCAGGCGGTGTTTCAGGTACTCAAGATTTTAGGGAACTAAGGAGTCCCTTGATGACCTTCAGACCATACTATGTCAAGGGCCTACACCTTCATCTCTAAGAGCAGTGCTGTGTCCCTTTTCCATGGAACCTTCCAGCAAACTATCCAGCTATGGGACAGTGTTGGATACTGCAGATGCTTCATAGATGTCAGGAAAATGTGAAGGAATAGTCTATGCTCTTGCTTTCAAATTTAGGTGTTAGCTATGGTTATGTAACAGTAATTATAATAATTATATTCACAGAGATCAACTTGATGGAAATAAATGTTAATTTCAAATTTCATATGTCTACTATTTAAAGAGTTATTAAGTTGATAAAATACTTCTCAGAGCAATAGTATCTTGACCCATCCAATAATATTAATATAACCTATTTTTGATTTCTTAAAAATAACCCCTATTAGCTGGGCATGGTTGCACAAGCCTTTCATCCCAGCACTCAGGAGGCAGAGGCAGGTGGATCTCTGTGAGATGGAGGCCATCCTGGTCTACATATTAAGTTCAGGCCAGCTTGGGCAAAGAGAGACCTGATCTCAAAACAAACAAACAAACAAACAAACAAACAACAAACAAACCACTATTGAGGAATTAGAGATCATCTTTAGTGAAATAAGCCAGAAGACAAATGTCTCATGTTTCTCTCATATGTAGAACCTAGGTTTTACATACACATACGAGATGAAAATAGAGGGAGACTGTTTGGGATGAGGAAGATGACTAGTGGTAGGAGGAAGAGGATAAGAGATGGTAATGAGGAATGAATCTGGTTAAAGTACATGATATACTTGAGCAAAAATGTCATTATGAAACCCATACTCTGTACAATGAACATACACAAAGTGAAAAAAAAAACCATTCAAATGTTGGTTTCTGTTCTTTAAATGTGGCAGGTGAGATATTCTTGTCGGGAAATAGGAAATGAAGGTCATCTTAATTATACCAAACCAACGAAGAGAATACCATCAACTATTGTAACTGTGTTAGATTTCAGCAGAGCTAGACCCACGACAAGTATTTAGAGAGGTCATTGCTTCTTCCTTCCCAAATGCCACTCTGACACACATTGGTGGCATGTGTAATTATAAACGTACACAGTCCTGCAAGTCTCAAAAAAAGATACAAAAGTGAAATATGTCATAAAAATAAGTGCTTAGAAAATTTCCATATTTGGCTGTGCAATTTCTTTGTCAAGCTATTTGAATAGCATTTAATGAGCTGTTTCTTGGGGGGGGACATGACATACATCCTAGTGGTTAGAAAGAATGAGGACACCTATCATGTCCTTAGAGCCTCCCAAAATCCAGCCAGTGCTTTCAACAGCTATCTGAACAAAGAAAATAGATTTATTTTAAATGTTTAATAAACTGTTCAGATGGCTTAGAATTAAACTAATTCTTCACAATCTGATGTTTCAAATAAATGGGAGTTAAGAACATAGGGATATATGTAATGCTAAGACCACTGGCTCCGTTTCATTCATATGTGAGGTTTGCCATTGATCTACAATGTTCAAAGAGGTTACACATCCTGCTGAGCCATTTTCATGGCAGTAAGATAACGAAGCTTTAAAACCATCACTCTCCAGAGTAACCTTCTAGCTCTCATCATCCCTGTCTTTTCGCCAGGGTGGTTAAGTCCTCCACTATCCACCAAAATGATGGTTGCTCAAGTCAAAATTCCACCTCTCTCTCATAACATCTAATTTGGTAATGAGGCTTGCCCTTGGAAGTGTCTTTGAATCTGTTCTCTTCATAGTTACTACCCTAAGTCAATCATGGAGTAACCTCCAAAATGATTTCATTTCCTATGTTACAACTGCAATTTTTCAGGGGGTGGGGGATGAAGTGAGATCGTGCCCTCTGTGTCTTTGAAGCACTGTAATGGTTCTTATGTCTTGGTTTGCATGTTGGCACTTTGCACTCCTCCTGTCCCTTCTCTTATGATCTCCTCACCACTTGTCACTTTTTTTGGCTATTAAAGATGGCAAGCCTGGTCTGGCTTTGGGTCTTTGAACTTGATGCCCTTTCCCTGGGTTGATTTCCCTCTGTTGAATAGGAGTTTTTGTTTGTTTGAAGTCCTAGCTTAGACGTCACTTGTTCAGAGATACTGCCCACTATCACCCTGTTGGAAGCCGCTGTTCTACACCGAGCTTCTTGCTGCCATGTCCCCTACTTCCTCAGAGAAATTATGATAGCTGTTGCCATGTGCTTTCTGTGCATGCTTGCTCACTATCATGAAGCCCCACGAAGAGCAGGGACTGCTTCTCTTGGTTTCCGCCATGACACAAGTCCCTGACATAGGCAGCTCTCAATGCTAGTGTGGGAAAACTGATCCCTGATCAAATGAATCAACTTACAGATTGCTCTGCTGAGACACACAGCCGGCTTCTGTTTGGAAAAATTCGGGGCTCAAGAGTGTGCCAGTTAGTAAAAATGACAGAAGAGCCATTGGACCATTCAAAGGAAACAGGAATTTTATTGCTACTCAATCCAATCCATGTTTCTGATGCATTTTCTGTAAGAGATAAATGTAAATTACTTATAAGGTCCTATTATTTGCAAAGGTACTAACAACTTGGGTTATTATCAAGATATACCCTTTCACATGTGATTTCTTCTTCATTTTTTCACGTGATAGAAACTGTTTAAGTGTCGCTGTGTACACCACCTTTTTCCTCCCATAATACCCAGGGTTGATCAATCTAGGCATCCTAAGTTAAGACAGAGTGTGAGCTAAACCCAATGCAAGGACAGCTGGAGCAAGTCAGAGCTCTGGGACTCCAGCTCCTTCTACAATTTGCAAAATGACCTGATAAGCTTTGTTTTGCATCAGCCTCAAGAAAAGGAAAATAGGAAGGTCAATTGAGAAGGATACATTTTAAAAACTAAACAAAATAGAAAAAAAAAAAGCACTTCTTTTAACCATAGGGTACCTTGACTTTTTACTTCTCCCCCTCCCCTTTTCTCCCCCCCCCAAAAAAAAAAAAAAAAAAAAAAAAAGGTCAGAAACTCTGAGGTGTTAACTTGAGCACAATGGGGTTGTCAGAAAAGTCACTAAAGCTTGACAGCCCAGGCAGGTAGGATGAAAAGACACCAGGTAGCAGAGGGATCTTCCAGTGTCCTTGTTGACACAAGGAATGCTGCAGGATTCTTTTAATCCTAAATGCAAAGGATTTGAAAAAAATGATATGAAAGTATTTGTATCTTTATTCCAAACCAACATGTTGCAAAGGTCACCAACTAGAGTCTGGGAATATTTTTGGCTTTGTTTTTCATTTTTAAACACTGGATAGTGAAGCCAATGACTCAAGAGGTTTTCGTTGTTTGTTCTTTCAAGATTCCATGTCTAACACATGAGATATATGACATGGTGGGGAGCAGATGTGCTCTGATGAACTGTACAGAGGAAAGGCCCAGGAGACTGGGACTCCCGAGCACAACAGACAGACTGAAAACCACTATGCCAAAAAGTTATTTAAATTTAACTATTTACCTAAGAAATTCCCTTTACATGACCTTAACACACCCCTAGCTTCAGCAGTCAGCCTCTCACAGCCCAGAGCCATTTGAGAATCTCAGCTGAAGAACTGCCCAGATCAGTTTGGCCTATGGTCACATCTGTTGGGCATTGTCTTAATTGATATGGGAGGGCCCAGTCCACTGTGGGCAGAACCATCCCTAAGAAGGCTGTAAAGAAAGCTACCTGAGCAGAAGCCAGGGGCAAGCTAGTAAGGAGTGTTCCTCCATGGTTTCTGCTTCTGTTCCTGCCTTGAGTTCCTGCCCTGATTTCCTTCAGTGAGGGGCTGTTACCAGGAAATGTCAGAGGAAAGAAACCCTTTTCTCACACAAGTTGCTTTTGGCCAGTGTTTTATCACAGCAATGGAAGAGTAACTAATACACACACTATGCCAATCTAATGGACATAAAGGTAAGGTTTAGGTTTTGCGTAAAGGTTTTAGGAAATGACTTTTACCACTTAGAATTAAAAGGGATCTAATCCATCTGGCATATATGAACATGCAACAAAGCTTCTAAATGTATTTTGTAAAAATCCAATGGTTTTAGATTTTCTTTTAAACTCCAACTTAAAAAAGTAGCAACCACATCCTATTTTATACCTCTTACCTCAAAGGGAGTTGGTACTCACCATCCCTAAGGAGGTTCACAAGAAACTCCTCTTCTGCTAAGGAAGCTATGTCCATTAACACAGCATTGTCAGACTGACAAGAATGCAAAGCCTCATCCCAGGTCTTTTCCTCTTTCTGAAGTTTGAAGCATTTACAATTGTGGGGAGTCCAGCCAGGCTCACAATGGGTAGCATAATATTTCCAAGAATCTTTTTCTTTATAGATAAACACAAATAATATCATTTTCAAAATAATTTTTAGTGTTACTTAACATCCTTTATATAAATTGACATCAATATGATTACTTTTAGTACCTAAAATGCAGAAACATATAAAATGACATCATGGACCTCTAGATCTTCTGAAGTGAGAAGGGTCTCATCTCTGCTCTAGATCTGGATCTAATAGATCATAATACTTAGCCTTCCAGATGAGAAATCAAAGGCACAAAGAAATAGGAGACAAAACAAAGGATACAATGAAGGGGGTGAATCAGGATTAGAGACAAAATTTAGTGGGGGCCTGTGAGAGGAGAGAAACTACTAGTACCATTCTGCTAAGCAGACATAATATTAAATTGACTCTTAATGACTTATTGTCATACCCATAAATGAGTGTATTTCTCTACTCTCAGCAGAGAAGTTTCTTTTTTCAGAAAATGGAAATTGACACAGAGACCCACAACTGATCAACAAGCAGAGAATAAGAGATTGTAGAGTGCTCAGGCCTAACTGGGACACCTTTATTGAACTCCCTCCTCCCAAGGCTCAGGGATCATTGCAGAAGAAGAGGCGGAAAGATTGTAAGAGCCAGAGGTGGTGAATGAATACAAGCAAATGGTATTGTGTGGATACCACAGGTAGTTGTTCATATGAACCCACAGATCTTAGTGTGCACAAGATCTGCAGAAACCCAAGCCAGATAAGGACCCAGCATGGATGGGGGAGATGGATTGAAAGCTCTAGTCTTCGCTGAGGATCTATTGGCAGTTTATAGTTACAGGGAGAGGGAGAATCAGTTTTCCTTATTGGTATGATGACTGGTAGGCTGACCAGACTCCAAAGGATAGACCTATACCCAGGATCATTTAGGAAACACAGATTTGATTCAATAGGCCTTATAAAAAAGACAAATAATAATAGAAGGTATGAAGTCTTGCATGGGGATTAGTATGGCCGAGGTGAAAAGGGGAAGAGGGAGTTTGAATATGTTCTAAATACACTGTATGGAATTTTCAAATCAATAAAAATGTTTAAAAAATTTAGTAGGGCTTCCCATTTTTGAAATACTTTTACACTGAAATATGATTATTATGAAACACAACTTAAATGGTATCCCAATGATTTTTACACAATAGATGGATGGATAGTTAGATGATTAGGTACTTATCCTCTGATCACTTCCTCTAGAGCTTCCTCTGTCATTCACCTTGAGGTCACTGTGGTGCTCTAGTGTCATACTGGGTGGAAGTGAACTCTGGGTTAAATTTCCAGGGCCAAGTGCCATGATGTTTTGGTTGCTTGAGGTGATGGTTCACAGTCCAGGCTTTAGCTTTCCATTTTCAGGAACTTGTCCCTGGGTGGCAATTGTATTTTGCCTCATTTTATTAAGTTCTACTAGGTACCTCCCTTAAACCTTACTTCCAGAGCTATGATTCCATTGTTTTGGGGGAAACAATTTATTCTTTTAAAATTGTTTTCAGGACTCTGACATCAATTAGAATCATAGTCAGAGAATGTTAGAATATTTAGATATTGTCTACCCTATCAACTTGAAAAAAAAAAGGTCTCTTTAAACCTTAGTCTAAATGTAAGGTAAAAAGTTAAAAAAGGAACTTTTTGATTAGAAATGAAGGCAGGACCAAGCAAGCACTGTGAATGAGATGGGGTTAAGGGCAGGTAGAGTGCCTAACATATGGGAGAGGGTACAATCTCTACTCTCCAGCAGTGAGAACATTTTTTTTCCTCTGATTGCTCTCCCATAGGCATACCAGGTGAACAGATATTCACACACTAAACTACCTTCTTAAGAGCTAAGAATAGCAGGTGAGACACTATAGGGCCTGCTTTTAGTACAACAAAATGAGAAGAAAATGAAGACTGCAGGGAGGAAAGGTGCCTGTGTCTTCCCTTTCATCTCTTCCCACCTCCAAGCAGTCCAGCACAGAGAGACTCCTCTTACTTGGGGGAGGGAGACAGAATTAAGAACAGGTCTAGTATGTGAAGCATTACCATGTGAAGCCAGGCCTGCCATGGTGCAACCCAGTACTTGGCAAAGCCCTATAACACCTTACCCACCACAAGGCCAATTGCTGTGAATTGCACCCCAAGAATTACATTAGGCCAGGAGGCTAACTGCAGCCAGCACCACTTCTCCAACTTCAGGAGGCAAAGCAGAGAGCTGGACATCACCTGCTGGGGAGCAGGAAGTGGAAGCTAGCACAGGGCTTCTTTTTGAAGCACAGCTTTGGTGGCCTTAGGTAAGATAGAGGTTCCTGGGGCTGGTTCACTCATGATGCTGCTGCTTAGAGCTGGGTGGAATCTTCCAGTATCTGACAATGGGTCAGGATCTGAAAGGTATTTGGGCCTATCCTGACCCCAGGGAAAGATGTGTGGGGACAGATTACTGTTTCTGGATACTCACATAGGTCTTTATGAACAATACACTCATGGTGTATTTGGGAAAAACCTGGCTTGGCTTGCCCCCTTGTATTGAAACAGAGATAGCATACTAGGAAATAGCAAGCTTCTGGCAAAACTGGACTTAGTGACATGTGGTGTGAAAGAGCAGACGTGATTAAGGGCTCAGAGCAAAATAACGATCTAGGTTAGAATTTCTGGAAGGATAGGCACAAACAAAGGCAGACTAGGAAACAGAATACTCAGTGGTTCAGGTCGCAGGTGATGCTGTATGCCAACAAGCATCAGGAACTTCCAGGAAACCATGGCCTTGCCTGCTATTCAAAGAAGATGATAGAAAAGGATCGGTCTGGGAGAGTTCTCAGAGAATATAAAACAGCTGCTTTAAAGAAACTCAGCAAGCTTGGAAAACACACACAAGGCCGTATTAGCAGACTTAAAGGAAGAGATAGACTCCAATTCAGTGTAGTTGGGAACTTAACACCCCTCAATTAGTAACGTATGGATCATCCATACAGTAAGAAAGTAAATTAACCAAGAAACTACAGTAAATTGCACTCTAGGCCAAATGGCCCCAAACACATCTACAGAACATTCCAATAGCTGCCTAATTCACTTAAAATAAAATTTACGAGCACAAACTACTCTTCAGGACAGAAAATGTTCTTGGCCATAAAACAAGTCTTAACAAATTTATAAAAACTGAAATCATATCAATTATCTTTTTAATACGGTGCACTAAAACTAAAAGTCAAATACCGAGGGAAAATTTGAAAACTATACTAAGACATGGAAATTAAACAACTTACTTTTGAACAAAAATGAATCAAAGAATAAATCACAAAGAAAATTTAAAAATTCTTTTGAAGAAAATGAAATTAGAGGTACAACACGCCAAAATGTATGGAATAGAAGAAAAACAGCACAAATCAGGGGGCGGTTCACAGCAATCAACTGCCCACATACGAAACGTGAAAAAGATCTCAAACAACTAATACTCAAGGGACTAGAAAAACAAGAGTAAAACAAACCCAAAATCAGCAGAAGGAAAGAAAGATTAGAGTAGAAATGAATGAAATGGTGATTTTTAAAAATACAAGAGATCAATGAAACAATGTGCTATTTCTTTAGAAAGTTAAACAAAATAAACAATCCTGTAGCTAGACTAAGAGAAAAGACAGAGAAGGTTCAAGTAAAACCAGAGACAAAAAGGCAGACATTAGGACTGACAGGCAATATGGCAGACTAAAGGCTCTATGAATGCAGGTAAGAAAAAACAGACTTCATCCCAAAGAGAGAGATAGAGAAAGAACTTCAGCTATCCATGAAGGGAGTGACTGGATACTGGACAGATAGAAAAGACTTGTGACGAGACAGGTAAATAGAACACAATCATAGCCTGAAGTTTCTTGGCTGGGCGAGGAGACTCAGAAGGTAAGCCAGCACTCTTAATCTTGGGACAAGCCTGTAGCTTAGCAGCCTCCAATCCTGTTGTGGGTTTTGGTGAAACAGTGATTCTGTGGGTAGATGGATCAGCAGTGGAATGAAGTCCTATTTTGTCACTTTACATAACTCAGGGGCAGCAGCCAGGCGCCATCTATACCTAAAAACTGAGCTCTCCCAGGGTCCTGAGATCAGGGAACAACCACAGTTTGGCAAACTTCAATTTGGCCTGTCACGGCCTCTATCTGAGGGAAAGACCAGAGGGGCAGTTGGAAAGCCAGACATTGACATACATTGGGTGTAGGTGGCAAGAGGATAGCTCAGGATAGGAGAACATGAGGAGAGATAGCCCCATTCTCAGTGGTTAGGAACAGCTCTCAACTGAGAATAAGACTGGAGTTTGATAGCTCTGAGCCTGAGGCTGCTAAGTAGATCCAATTCTGGAGCCACCTATCTGTTCACTAGGGTAGAGCCTGAGAATTCTGAAGTTCCAAGGTGCACATGACACCCAAAGGACCATCCCTCCTGCAGGGCGAGTAATACTCAAGGGGTCTTGAAAGTATGAAACAGGTTCTCCGCCTGTACCAGTCTTAGTGATGTTGCTTCTGACACTCTTAATGCACTTGGGAGGGAGGAATCCACCAGCTAAAAAGCATCACCCCAGGGGGAAGGGTCAGGGAGTCTTTTTTTCCCTTTTTGTTCAATTTTTTACTTTTTCAAATCTGTTGCTTTGTTTCCTTTCCTTCTTTAACACTCTCTTCCACTTCTTTCTTTTGTCCATTTAACCTCACTTCTCTGTATTACTTTTTCTTCCTTCATCTAACTCATTTACTATTTCTACATTTACTCTGAATAATTTTTTATTTCTTAACACACCTATAGTTGACCATTTCCAGTTTTATGGTCATTGTTGACATGTTAGTGGACTGTAATTGATTTCTATATCTTGTGTTGTATGACGGTCTTGCTGCCTCCATAATTTGTTTTCTTTTTTTCCAAGTGACACTGAGAATTGAGCCTTTAAAAGGGCTGTTTAATGAGAAAAGTCTTCCCCCAAAGAGCTATCCAAATTGCAATACGGAACAGTAGGCAGAATGAAAATGCAAGGCAGCATGCCTCCTCAGACAGATGGCATCTCCAGGGAAAAAATAAACTTACCTACAAAACCAGACACATTGAGTAACATAAGATCTCTTATCAGCAACTCTCCCAGCTAGAGAAGTTTGGGACAATATATTTCAAGCCAAGAAAGCAAATAACCACTGACAAAGATTGCTATATCCAGCAAAGCTACCTTTAAAAGGTGATAGAGGAATAAGAACATTTCTAGATAGGCAATTCTTGACTATCAAGTCAGCATTCCAGAAGGCAGTCTTAATCATGACAGCACCAGATAGAACAAATTTCATCAAAACAAACAAACAAAAGAATAAATTTCAGGAGATAAATATCTGAACAAAGGAAGGCTAGGAAGGAACTCATCAGGTCCAACAGAATAAAGCAGCAAGCCCCCAATACTAATAGGGGAGAAAGTGAAAAACAAACAATAACCAACAACCAGAAAAGTAATAGACAAAATCATGCAAATTAAAAAGCATCTAATAATAACCTTAAATGAAAATGGCTTCAACTCACCAATAAAGAAATGTAAACTGTCTAAATTAAAAAAAAAAACACTAGATGTAATTATTTATTGTCTCCAAGAAACATATCTCACTGATAAAGAGACCCACAGGCTGAGAAGGATGGAAAACAATTAATTAAGTGAAAGGAAATGGAAAATGGCTGGTCTAGCTAGTCTAATATCCAATAAAGTAGATTTCAAACCAATATTGGTCAGAAGAGAAAAAGAAGACCATTAGATATTAAACAAAAACATTTCATCAATAAGATATACCCACTGTAAATATATATGCACCAAACATTATAGTTCCCAGTTTCATAAAGCAAACATTGAATGGACATAAAAGATCAGATAGGTCATGTTATAATAGTAATGGGTGATATTCATATCCCACCATCATCTCTAGATAAGTCATCCAAACTACAGCAAAGAAACCTCAGAGCTAAACTATACCACAAATTACATGGTCTTAACAGATATCTACAGTATATTCTATACCACAAAACATCATGCATATTCTTCTCAGCAGTCCATAGAACCTTCCCTAAAATAGATCACATTCTAAGTCACAAATCAAGTTACAAAATATAAAGGAATTGAAATAATCTCAAGCATCTTGCCAGATCACAGAACAATAAAATTATAATCTACAGTTAGAAAAACTATAGAAACTACACAAATACATGGAGATTGAATAATACACTTAAAAAAATTTTTTTTAATTTATTTTTATGTGTATGAGTGTTTGCTTGCATGCATGTAAGTGTATCAATGAATGCAATACCTGCAGAGGCCAAAAGAGGGCACTGGATCCCCTGGAGCTGGTAGTTACAGACAGTTGTTAGCCACCATATGGGTGTTGGGAACTGAACCAAGGTCCTCTGCAAGAGCAGCCACTGCCCTTAACCACCAAGCCATCTCTCCACCCCATACTCTTTTTAAAATTATTTATTTATTTATTATTATTTACTGAGTGTGTGTGTGTGTGTGTGTGCGTGTGCGTGTGCGTGTGTGCATGCCGTGTGTCATGGCATATATGTAGAGGTCAGAGGATAACTTTTAGGAGTCAGTTCTCTCCTTCCACCATGATGGTTCTGGGGATAGAACTTGGGTCATTAGGCTTGGTGGCCAGTGCCCTCACCTACTGAATTATTATGCTGGGCTTACAGAACATTTTTCAAAGATGAGTGGGTCATTGGGGAAAATCAGGGAAGGAATTTAAGAGCTCCTAGAATCAAGGAAAAATGAAAGCACAACTTACAAGAGCCCCTAGGATTCAGTGAAGGTAGTTCTAAAAAGAAAGTTTATAGCTATGAGTCCTTATATTAAAAAATTAGGAAGATCTCAAACTAAGGATGCACCTCAAGGTACTAGAAAAACAAGAACAATCCAAAACCCACAGCAATAGAAGACAAAAATAGTAAAGAGTAGGGAAGAAATTAATGAAATGGAGACCAAAGGAACAATACCTAGAATCAACAAACAGAATTGGTTCTTTGGAAATATAAACAAAATTGACACATCCCTAGCCAAACTAACTGAGAGGAAGACCCACATCAATAAAATTAGAGATTAAAAAAAGGGGGGAAGTTATAGCCAGGCAAGGTGGTGCACACCTTTAATTCCAGTACTTGGGAGGCAGAGGCAGGTGGATCTCTGTGCATTCGAGGCCAGCCTGGTCTACATAGTGAGTTCCAGGCCAGCTGTGGTTACAGGGAGACCCTGTCTCAAAAAGACCACAGGGGGAAAAAAGGGGGGGGCGGTACTTCAATTTCCAATGTAATACAGAGAATCACTAGGTGGTACTTTGAAAAACTTATATTCCAATAAAATGGAAAATCTAGAAGAAATGGGTAAATTCTTAGACAAATATGACCACCAAAATTAAACTAAGATGTTACAAATATACAGACCCATAACTAAAAACTGCTGTCAAATCCAACAAGCCTACTAGTACTAAGTAAATATATCCAAAGGAAGTGAAATCAGTATTTCAGAGACATCTGAATACCTATGATCATTTCAGCATTATTGACAACAGCCAAGACTGACTGGGAACAACCTAAGTGTCTCTCAACTGACAAATGAATAAAAATATGTGATATGCTTACAATATGCATAATATATGAAATGAAATATTATTCATCCACAAAAGGTGAAATCCTGTTATTTGGACACTGTGGATAGAACTTGACATCATTATATTAAGTGAATTAAGCCAGACACAGAAAGACATGTGCGATGTGCCACTCACATGTGGAATGTAAGAACATTTTCATAGATGAGATGATTTCATAATTTTTACTCTCTCGTGATTTCATACATGTTGAGATGGAATGGTGGTTACCAGAGGCTAGGGACGGAGCAGGGTAGGGATGGGGAAAGCCTGGTTAGTTGGTCTGAGTTACAGTGAGATGGAGTGGGATGTTCTGTTCTGAGGAAGGGCAAGGATGAACTGAGCATCAGGAAGCTAGGAAAAGTCTTGAAAGTTTGCATTAATGATAAATGTTTGAGGTCACAGATATGCTTAAGCTCATTTAAATGAGCAATGTGCACATTTATCAAAACACTGCATGGTATTCCACTTGTATGTGCAATTTTATGTTTTTATGTGTCATTTCATATATAAAATTTTTTAAAAGTGTTCTGGGATTCTAGAAACACAGTCTGAAGACACTGGACTAAGTTATCAGGATAATTTGTTGACTAGCCCCATTGATGAGAATAATAAAGAAAACAGAAGAAAATACAGGTGGCAGGGGAGAGAGAGTGTAGGGCGTCTTCTCTTCCTCTCCCTCCTCTCAGTTGCACGAGTGTCAGGCTTAGCTGTCACTTAATGGAAAATAACAGAACTCAAGAATAAATGGCAATATATTAAAATTATGATTTGGCTTACTTTTAAATCTAGAGTTGTTTCTAATTATTCTAGTAGTGATTCTTTTAAAATGCTTATGTTGTTATCTCTAGTTTTGTAGAAATGTAAAATTAAAAGACATTAAAAGAAATATAAAGTTAAAAGACATTAAAGACAGATATAATTGAGCCAGGTATGGTGGCACATGCCTTTAATCCCAATGCATGGGAAACAGAAGCAGGTGGATCTCTGTGAGATGGAGGCCACCCTAGTCTACATAGTGAGTTCCAGGCCAGCTGAGGTTACAGGGAGACCCTGTCCCAAAACAGCATCAATAAAGAACAAACGACAGTATGAAACCATTATGATTGGGGCTGGGAAGCTTGCTTAATGGGTAAGAACACTTGCTACACAAGCATAAAGACTTGAGTTCAAATCCCCATGTCAAAAAGCCAGTGTGTTCCTGTTTGTTGGTGCAAATGCCTATAATCTCAGCACTTGGGAGGGGGTGTGGGAAGGGGGTTCAGAGGCAGGAGGATCCCTGGGGTTTGCTGGATGCCGTCCTAGCTCCAGGTTTAGTGAGAGCCTGCTCGAGGGAACAAGGCAGAGTGATAGGCAGGACAGCTGATGTTCTCCTCTGGCCTTGGCATGCTCACATCAGTATGCACACTTACAACACACGTGTACCACCTGCATACACCTCACACTTGCACTACACACCACACACATATGTCACACAATCTCACATACAAATAAATAACAAAAATATATGATTGGACTTGAGGTACTAGATTGTAATTAGGTAGTATTTAAGTCTTAATTATACCCCCAGTTTTCTATATTATTTTAGTGGGGAGAGTGTGCTACTAATATGAGATGTGAAGTATGGTAGAAAATCGATGAAGTAGGAGGCAGAGCGCCATCAGACAGGAGGAGCTGCCTTGTTTCTGCTGCACACAGGGCAACTACAGTTAAAATAGTGCATCATCTATTTCAAAATAGCCAGAGGAGAGGAGTCTGAAAGGTCTTGTCACAAAAAATGACAAATGCTTGAAATAATCAATAGGCTACTGATTTGATCATTATGCAACATATTCAGGTATCAAAACACACTGAACCCCCTAAATATATACAATTATGTAAATATCCTGAGTCATAGTGCATTTCGGATTAAAGATATAATTCATCTTTATTCATATAACCATAAACCAGATTTAGCTGAGTTTCAATTATGAATTGGCAAAAAGAGAGAATTTTAATATATTAAGTGAAGAAGTAAACAACTCGAAGAACAATTTAAAATAGAAGCACTTACCAACTATTTCGTGATCAGTGTGGTTTAGATATTTTTTACATACATAAGGCAAGGTAGACTCACAATCCCTACTCCTCCAGGCAGTTGGAGTAAACGAATTCAGCGTTCCACAGTGATATTCAACAATGGGCCCAGCATTTATCTCTGAAAATTAATACACACTGAAATGTAGTTTTAGCCACAGGAGATAGTGACCCCTACAGGACGTTATGCCATGTACGGGATTCCACAGTTAAAGTCCAGCCACTTCTATTATTTTAAAGTAGAGGACTATTTGGCAATTCGTTGCTATTTTTAAAACAGCAGTCTAGCTTTGATTCCAATTCTCCTAAAACTTAACTAAATAACTTGTTTTTCTGGTCTCCATTTTCTGCAAAGTCTGCCTTATAGGAAATCAGCAAGGATAAAACAAACGTATAAATCTCTGGGTATGTTGGTGCACACCTGCAATCCCAGCACTTGGGTGGCAGGAAAGCTCTAGGCTAGCAAGGGGAACACAATGAGATCCTGACTCAGGAAAAACATTATAACCCACTTTCAGAATAAGATATTTTATAGGACTGCTGTCTTAAGTCTGCAGCATATTGCCACATGTTGAAGGTAAATAAAATGCTGTGGGTACCTGGGCTCCAGTTCAGATAGCTGAGTGGTGTTCCGTCAGACCACTGCCAGCCAGTGTTTTCATTCAGCTGGTTCAAGCCAATCCACACTTCCACCGCTGTGCTGCTCAGATGCTCTTGTAAGAAAATTATGTTGTTTCAAAAAAGAAAAGACAACAAACAAAACCCAAACTTAATGCTTTATTCTTTTTTGATTTCCTGTTCCTACAGACCACGGAGCCATCAGTTAATGCCAGACTCTGACAAGGCAGGGGTTAGTTAGGTACTAGAACCTCTACACTGGGGCTTCAGTCAGTATGTAAAACAAAGCACTGCCATCTGTAGATATGCAGCAGGCTCCTGAAGCTCACTGACACCTCTTAGCTAATCTGTCTGAGGGCCTATCTATCCTCCAGCTCATACAATTTCAGTTTTAGAAATGGAGGAGTTTATTTGGAGTGAATTGAGACTACATAGTGTATAAAAATCCTTTCAGGGAAAGCAGTCCCAAAAACTCATCAAATACTCCAGACCAAAGAGTGTGACTCCTTCAACTGGATCTCATAAAGTGATGGACAGATAATACTGCAATGGCATGGTCCCACACCAACCTTCCATCTGATACAGGCTGTGTATGGAAAGGACTGACAAGCAGAGGCCTCCAGGACCATCCCTGGGGCTTTAGCTTGGCTCAGTCCCCTGCTTTCGATGCAGGATACTCAATTGTCTGCCTATCTACCTGTTTACCCATATGGACCTGACCTGTTTTTTTCTTTGGAAACGTTTGGCCTTTCACAGTGAAGCTGAATTCTGCAGCTTTGCTGTCAAACCTCAAACCTCAAAACTGCTAAACCTTGTAAATTTATTGTTATTCAATAAAACGACATTATAGGAAGATACAAACATGTTTGTCTACGTTTCTGACATAGCACAGTCACAGAAACAACACATTGCACATGGGTCTCATGTCCAAATTTCTGTGGCATTAGCAGCCCGTCTCTTCCTAATGCCTATCTGATTACTCCTTTCAACAGTATCATTCGATTAAATCACTTGACAGATCTTGTGAGGAAGAGAAGTAGATCAGAAGATGTGCTGATGAGACGGAGGAATTTCCACATTTCACATCCAGGTAAAGTACTAAATTACTTACTAAAAGTATTAAATTTACTTAACTAAAATCTTAATTATTCTTAAAATCACTTCAAATATCCAAAATTATATAGTTGGTTTATTAAAACACATAAAATCATCACTCAACTTGTTGCCCATGTTTAAAGGGACAAGTGAAAAACACCGCAGTCTATTTAGCTTTACAGCTAAATTGCCTCATAATTCATAAATACAAACTTGAGCCTGATTTCCTTTGGATATATCTTGGCATTCGGAACAACTTGGATAATTCCTTATATAACAATTTATGTTCACCAGTGCCTAGCAGGAAACATGAGTCTAGTCTCATCATTAAAAAATACTTTGATTAGAACTGCTTCTGTCTTTGTGAATAGACTCCTGTTTCCCTAAACAATCCCCAAAGTCTAATTATAGAACTGAAATATTTAAATAAAATCAGACATATCTTATTTAAAAATCAGACATATCTTATTTAAAAATAAGACATATCTTATTTTTAAAAATTGCTATTCAGGTTTGATGAATAGGTCCAAATCCTCTCATGAGAGATCATGGCAGTTAAGGTAGATAACAATTGTAATTTATAAATGGTGTGCAAACTTTTACATAAAACCCATTACACATTAGTAATGATTTTAGAAATTGGTGTTTTCCTCTGATGTGACTCACTTGAATTAGTTTCAACAATAATTTCCCACTTGTGCAGAGCTGTGGGGGAAGGACAAGCATGCACTACACATCCATCATTATAATCCTCCTGGAAGGTGTTACTGACTTGTAAAGCTTTAAGCATGCTTCCTCTTCCATTCAGTAAATCTACCTCTGTAAATACACATAAAAAAACTGTGACACTGAAGAAAGGCATATATGAAGATGGTTGGATATAGCAACAAATAAACAGATAAATACCCAAATAATTTTATCTATCTAGCCCAAAGACAGATTATATCAATATATTAGCTACACTACTAGGTAACCATTGACAGTTACAATATAGGGCTAAGGAGATGGCTCAGTGGGTAAGAGAATTTGCTCTGCAAGCATGAGGACCTGAGTTTGAATGTCTCTGAGTGCATAAAAACCTGGGCATGGCTGAGAGTGCCTGGAACCTCAGCACTGGGAGGCAGAGACAGGCAGATCCCAAGAGCTCACTGGCTAGTCAGCCTAACGAAAACCTGAGCTTCTGGTTCAATGAGAGACCCTGTCTTAAGAGCATAAGTCAGAACGTGTTAAAGAAAGGCACCTGACCTCCTGATTTGGCCTCCACAACTATGTGCAGAAGTGGATACCCCTGTACATTCACATACATGCAACACACACATACACATGCAATATAGGCTTGTATAGACATACATAGATGTAAGTAAATTAACTAAGCAGATTACAAAATGGTGTGCACAGTTGCTAAATGGTTAACCCCACTATTTGTTACGTATGTATGCCAGGTATTTTTCTAAGGCTTCACCTACACTGTAAGATGCCATCTATACCACGAAATAGAGTCTATTATCATGTCTACTTGGTAGAGAGGAAAACTGAAGCAGCATAAAGGCCACTTGCATGAGTAACCCTGTTATTAAGTGGTGGGAGAAAGATTCAGACAAAAACCCATGGCTCTCTGCTACCTGCATTCATATATTGCACAATAACATCTTGTGTTTGTTTTTAGTGTTTGTTTTTATTTTTGATTTTATGTGTGTGTGTGTCTGTGTGTGTCTGTGTCTGTGTGTCTGTACACATGAGTGCAAGTGCCCATGTGGAAGCCAGAGGCAGTGGATCCCTCAGGAGCTGGAGTTACAGGAGGCTGTGAATTGCCTGACATGGTTGCTGGGAATTAAACTGAGGTCCTCTGGAAGAGCAAGAACAGCTCTTAACTGCTGAGCCATATCTCTAGCCTAGCGCCTTACATTTTTATACAATATCAAATTTTACAGATGCTAAGTCTATAACATATACATTTGTTTTCCAGGACATGATTAACTCTGAACTGTACAATTATGGGAGATTTCTTAAAAATTTGCTTTTCTTTGATATAGTTGAATTTTGAATTTTAAAATAAACATGTAATACATATGAAATAAATTTAAGAAAAAAATCATGTAGGAAGGTTTCAACAAAAGTGACTTATTTTGGATAACTTATGTTTCCAATTTAAAAACAATTAAAAAATTTTTTAATCATTTTTTAAATTTTTAATAACTACATGATTAGAAGAAGCATTTCACTACAGCTTTAACATATTCAGTAACACACTCCAGAGCAAGAGTACATCTCTTTCACAAGTGGGTGCAAGTTTTTAGGTTCACAGTTGAACTAATACAGTTATACAATATTGAACTGAGTATAAGCCCAGTAAGACATAAAATTGAATGAGTTTTTAACCTTAAAAAAGATCTCCATTTAGCTGGGTGTGGTGGCGCAGGCCTTTAATCCCAGCACTCGGGAGGCAGAGGCAGGCGGTTCCCTGTGAGTTCAAGGCCAGCCTGGTCTACATAGTGAGTTCCGGGACAGCTGGGGCTACAGGGAGACCCTGTCTCAAACAATTTTACAAATTTTTTTAGTGTATGTATGCAGTTCCATGCATGCAAAGGTGAGGACAACTCTCAGGAGTTGGTTCTCTCCTGCCATATTGTGGAATCCAGGGATTGAACTCAGGTCATCAGGCTTGGGAAACAAGGACTTTTATCCACTGAGCCGTTCTTGGCAGTGTCATCTTTGTGGTACTAGCCTTAGAGGCATGAAGCAGGAGTGAGGGGTCCTCGATTATCCCTCTGTGGTTTCAGAGAACCACTGAGGCCAGGTAGAATGTAGCAGGGAGTCCCTGTGTAAAGAAAGCCCTGACAGGCCAAGAGGCCCTGAGGGGCCATTGGGTGAGGCTGTGAAGGTAAAGCATGGGTTTCAGTGGAGGCCCCAAGATGTTGAAGATGTCAGAGCCATGAATGCACCAGAGAGAACTGGATACAGGGAATGGAATGAGTGTAAGAGAGAGATGTATGTAACAGGCAGCAAAGCTAGAGGGGTGGAGCCATCTTAGCCCTTTGGGACTAAAATTCCAGACATTGGATATGGAGCTGCAGGATTTGGTGTTTGCTCTGCTTGTGAGTTTCCCTGACTGTTGCTTACTGATCTGCCTTACCAAATATGTCTTGCATGTTATCTTGGTTTCGTTGCTTCTGCTTTCTGGCCAAAGATCTGTGTAATGTTTAATGAGTGTCATTGGCACCAAAGATAGAAATCCCTAGAGTCATCCATACTCATTCCTGGATGAGACGGAACAATACAATGGCTTATCTAGTTGAATATCTCACGAAGTCAGATCCACCAATGTCCCAAGTCACTCTGTTGTCTTGAAGAGACATGGGAGAGCTGCTCCCCCAAATGGCATATTCCAGATTCAAAACACATTAGGAAAGGCCACTTCTGTATTTGGTCCTGACCTTAAAATCTTAAGATCTATGTTAAATTGTCTATTATCCAGCTGTGATTCATAATGGCTCTCCCTAAAAAAAAAACAAAAACATTTTTTTGGTCTTTTTGAGACAGGGTCTCCCTGTAGCCCCAACTGGCCTGGAGCTCACCATGTAGACCAGGCTGGCCTCAATCTCACAGAGATGTGCCTGCCTCTGCCTCCTGAGTGCTTGGATTAAAGGCATGCATCAGCACACTTGGCCCCCTAAAATTCTTTGTTAAAGTCACAAATCCAAGTTTTACCTGAATGGAGGTCGCTAAGGGAAAGGGAAATGCTTAGGCAGATGCAGGAGATAAAGTAAGGCCGTGCCTCCATTGTCCATCACTGCTGACACTTTGATCTAGTATCTTTGTGGTCTGTTAGTTAACACATGGGTAGTTTTGCTCTTTCCACTAATTTTTAAGTTTTTGGTATCCGCCAAAGGGCTTATGATGGGCCTATACACCATGAATGATGGATCAGCTAGTAATTATTTATAATTTATATTTAATGAAATTGAATAAATTCTGCAGATGAGCAAGAATTGGTATTTCAGTTTAGAAGCTTCTCTGATTCACTTGCTAGAGCTGCAGCTCCCCTGGGTCACTTCCTAAACTTTCAAATTTTCTTCTCCAAGGAGAAATCTAAGGAAGTCATGACAAATAGAATGCAGAGAGTTTGTGTAAAAATTCAGGATTAGAGGGCTCGTGAGATGGCTCAGAGGGTAATGGCACTTGTCACCAAGCCTATAGACCTGAGTTCAAAGCCCTAGAACCTACATGGTGGAAAGAAAGAACTAACTCTTGTAAACTGTCCTCTGACTTCCATGCATGCACTGGTATGTGAGTCTGCACACATGCACATATGTGCGCGTGCACACACACAATTACATTTTTAAAACTCTGGATTAGAATTTGGGCTATATTAAGAAAAGAAAAACTTCTTAAAAGAACTCTTAGAAGGGTCTATTTTTGCATCCATGGGCAAGTCTGATCACAATAGTCATTTCATTGTGCCAATAGCAATGTATATCATTCACATACTTACTCCTTATGAAAGTTTCTTCATCCTCATCTGCAATACTTAACAAAGCACCTCCTTGCATCTGGCATGAAGAATGTGCCTTATTCCAAGAGAGAGATGAAAGCAGGTTGAATTGGTAGCAAATGTATGAATTGAAGTCCTTTTCCCAGACAACGTCACAGCCTACCGCAACAGAGGCTGGAAAGAAAGTTCATCAGAAACATCCACGACAGTCTTTATCTATATAGTAATAGATAATATTTCTAAGATGCATTTGAATAGAATGATTCCAACTGGCAACCTGTAAAACTTTAGTGCCTTGATTAGGTAGGCCTTTATGGTGAAATCTGTATTGCTATTCCACTGAGATCTTGCCGTTAAACTTTTTCAAGGTTTACCTAAGAAAACTAAAAAAATTATCAGCAAAGAAGCTCTGATACTTTCAGGAAAAATAATAGAAGCTAGTTTTAAGAGAAGTAAATAGAAATGAAGTATTTGTGAAATACCTGGAATTTTTGATAACTAGTCATATAATCTACATTAGATAAGGTGGGTTAAATGTTTGATTAACATAGACTTTAATGTTGTTCAAAAGACTTTTCTTCTCCAATACCAAACTGCTAAATGGAATAAAAGGGATACAGGAAATATGCATTAATAATGAACACAACATTGGGCACAGGGATGGGGATACTAGTTTATAATAGTTCTTTCAGTCAAGAGGAACAGAAATAAAAACATACCTGTAAGACACTGGCTAATGCTTGCATAGTATGACTAAAAAGTCTAAAGAAAAAGTAAATTTAATAAAGTATGAAGTCTGGATCTGAAATCTGAAGCTTACTGAAATGATACAAAATAAAGACCTAGCTTGGGTGCTTTTGCTAAAATTCTAAATTGACCCTGAAGGTGAGCTAATTATTAGAAATCAAACTTAACCACACAACTTCAAAATGTAGAAAATGTGAACCATATTTCAGTATGCATATAACTCACGGGCAAGCAACTTGCTACAGTCTAGAATCTTCTTTCCCCAAGTATGGTCCTTAAGTTAAATGACTTCAAGATGTTTCCCATGAAAATCTGGTATGTAAGACCTATAGAGTGTTCTCTGGAAAACATCATGTATATTACCATATTAAAGACTCCAAGAGTTCTGTAATTAAGAAAATTTCTTATTATTAATTCAATACACTTCAAACTTGTTGGACAATCTTTTTCATGTGTTCTTTTTTCTTTTTTTCTTAGAACACTTAGAGGAGTCCCTTGAGAAATGTGGAAAGTTTATTTTCATTTTCATCACCGCACACATTTCCTAGAACTGAGTTAGTTAATTGGAAGTTATTAAATCATTATAAATCTAAAGTTGTCTACAGCATTTCCTGGCTGATACATGTATTTATATAAATGTACAATATTAAAGAAGATAGAAAACAAAGTTGTCATCAAATAACACTGAAAGAAGGGTGAGAGAGAAAAGAGAATGAGAAACGGAAATTTTAGAAACTACTTTGCCTGAGTGGCTAAAACTTCCTCCTTGAGATGGACTCCCTCAAAACTACCTTCAGTTAAAATGTTTGACCTTCTCTGAGATAAATGGCACTCTGGGGTGTAGACCTTGATTGGTCATATTCATCTGGTGAGACAGCCAAGACCATGAAAGGGTGTAGGGAAGTGCGCACAACTCAAGGTACAGAACCATATTGCCAGGTTGTTTAAAAAAAAAAAAAAAAAAAGCTGATTCCTTGCACTCAGTCTCAGAGATGCTGAGTCAAATCTGGCATGGGACTGAGGAACACACATTTAAAACCTATTCCTGGTCTAGAGCAGATGTTCCATGAAGCAAACACTAGGAAACATTATCTTTAAGGGAAAGTTCAAAGCCCTTCCCAAGGAGGGCACATCTGAGTGGCCCATGGCTACTCAAGGACGGTAGAATGGCAGAAGGACAAAGGGGGGCGTCAATCCTGGAAATGGGGTATCTGCCTCCCACTCCTGCCATGGGGAAAGATTTGCCAGTAAGCCTTAATTCTAAGCCTCAGGTTACAGCTATTTGAATGATAAGAAAAGGTGTGAAGGGCACTACAATTAATCTCAGTCCTATTTTTTGCTAAGAGTTGGTCAATATGGCCTTTTGTCATGACCTGGTCCAATTCTACAACATTAAGCAGTTACTGTGAGGGTGTTTTCAGGTGGTAGTGTCTGGACTGTGTATGGCATACTCTGTCCCAATTCCCAAGGTTTGTTGATAGAGAAACGTCAGTCAAATACTTGAAAGACACCATATTCTCCCAACAAGTCAATTCATTTGTCATGTTAAAATTTGTGCTTCTGCACAGGCAGACCCAGTGTTGTCTGCTTCTCTAGGTGGGCTGTATCACTCTGCACATCTCACTTGAAGGTTGTTAAGCAACAAATGGAATGAAAATGGCTCTCTAGCAGACCCTGCATCCCTTTAGGACTTATTTTACCAATTGTCAACAGACACCCTCAACTTTAAGCCTTCTTCAAGGATTGTGTTGACTTAAGGGTCATTTTCCTTTCCCAGGGGCAGCTGGCACAGTGTGGCTCCTCAGTGCAGGAATGAGGCCTCTTGTCCTGACCAAGGCAACTTGGAGAGGGTGTTCCTGCTTGAGAACCCCTCCTAGGGTTGCTCTAGGAGTCATCAGGCCTATGGGCCTCCTCTGCACAGTTCCATTGTCTTCCCTGTTTTTCCTATGAACTAATCTTTCCAGCACTCCCTGAGAGGCCTCTATATGTTCATTTCTGCCTCAAGGATGCTTTCGGGATCCTGCTTGCTACAGGCCTCCTGGTAGACCAGAGCATTTGCACTTGAGAAGGCAAGATCAAAGACTTGTGACTCAGATACGTTTAATTATTCTAGGAATATTCTAATCTAAGACTAAGAATTTGTATTTCTTTGCATATTTGATTTTCTTCATACTATCTTTTTCTTTTTAAAAAAAAGTGTGTGAGGGAGGCTGGAGAGATGGCTCCCCAGTTAAGACCACTGGCTGTTCTTTCAGAGGACCTGGGTTCAATTCCCAGCACCTATGTGGTGGCTGACAGATGTCCAGAGCTCCTATTCTAAGGGAACTGATGCCCTCTTCTGACTTCCACAGGCATTGCAAGACATGGGTGCACTTAATACACATGCAGGCAACACACTTATACACATAAAATAAAAATAATAAAATACTTAAAAATGTGTGTGTATTGCAGAAGTAGGCAATATTTCATTTCCTAAACTATACTTTTCTTGAATGAACTGAGGTATATTCATGTCCACCCTGATTGCACAGAGTGAGTGAGATTCCTCCATCTTTCCTTTTTCTAAATGTGGCTTATTTTTCTTCCCTAAGAACCTAGATTTGCAATTGTCCCAGATATAAATTGTTGAATTACTTTTGCTAAAAAAAGAAAGAAAATAAGTTTACACTATCAGAGCAGTTACTGAACTGTAAAGTTGCTATTCCTTCTTTCTAGTTGATTTTGCGTAGACTCAGTATATACTGGCTGAATGTCTGATCCCTGAAAAGTGCTCCACTGACAAGCGTTATACAACAGGGATAACAGGCCAAGTCAGGATTTCTTACTATGCATTTTTTTTCAATGCCATATGCACTCCTTGGTTGATAGCACAGATCACAAATAAAATTAGGTGGTGTGTTTGTGTGATGACTTGCTGATCATGTTTCTCCTGATAAATATAAGTAGCAGGAAAGCAGTTCCATTTCAATCATGCTGATCATCAGCATCAGAAGTTTGTTGGATCGGAATGAACATGCATCAAAGATAGCCAAGAGGTGATTATCACAAAGGAAAGGGGAAATCCAATAGGTTACAGAAGTCTGAGGGAAGGGATGGAGTCAGTTTTTCTTCTGATTGCTGAGTCTTTGAATACAGCCAAGATACATGCACTGTGACTTTATGGAGCCATGTTCAGTGAAGGAGCCCAAAGACCGTCTCCCCCCTGGCTGTACCTAACAGATGAGCACTGCCAGAAAAGTCATTCTAACAATCTCATTAACAACCACTCCAATGCTTCCTGGAAACATGACTACTTTTGCTAAGCTTTTGCTCTACCAACAGCCACAGTGCCCATTTTATGCTCTCTGCCCCCCTGACCCCCAGTCCAAACTTCTCATTCTTCTTCCTCTTCAGAGAGAAGTCACAGACACTGGGCTAGTTTATCCTTATTTTGCCATTCACATAATCCAGCAGCTTCCTTGAACCAGTGCTCTCCTCTACCTCATTCTGCCTATGGAGAATGTCCTTTCTACCCAGAACAGGCCAATCTGTAAGTCTGTGATTGGACCCTACTTCCTCCGTCTTCTGAGAGATAATAGCGACACCACCAATTGCTTTCATTTTTCCTGCAAATTTCAACACTGTGGTTACATCATTTTCAGATGCATTCCAAGTTGGATGAGAATCTTTTATCCTTAAAAAGAGACAAAAATCTCCTTCCCTTGGCTTCCCTGTCCCAGTCCTTGCCTTCTCTTTATCTCTACTAGTCACACATTTTTATTCACATACTATGTCTAATTCCTTGTCTCCTAAAAATTTTGCTGCAATCTATTTCATGAACCATGTAAGCCACCCATCTAAATTACAAAAGTCAGTGTTTTTAGGATAGTCAAAGTAGTGGGCAACCATCATGATAATTGGTTTTAGAACAGTTAAATAACATAAAAAAGAAACCTAGTACTCATTAGCAGGGACTTCTCATTTTGAGGGAACCAAATCCCTGCTAAGCAGACAGGGTTAATGCTGAGTAACAAAGATGGCAAACTTCCTGCTGGCTCTTCATTTGAGACCAAGACCAAGGGACTTTTTTTGCCTTTAGCAGGGCCCCTCTTTCAGCCAAGGCTGATCCTATCTCAGCTCGGAGCTGTGGCCTATCAGCCTTCTCTTATTTATTATCAATACAAAATTAGGGGAGGGGACCTGCCCTACATCACCAGGAATGCTTAAAAGACCCAGGCCCCTAGGGCTGGAGAGATGGCTCATTGATTAAGAATGCATACTGGTCTTCCAGAGGATGCAAGTTTGATTCCCAGCACCCACATCCGGTAGTTCACAACCACCTATAAGTCCAGCACATGCACAAACTCTGTCTCTGTCTCTCTCTCTCTCTGTGTCTCTGTCTCTGTCTCTGACTCTGTCTCTCTCTCTCTCTCTCTCTCACACACACACACACACACACACATACAAACACACATATATATAACTTAAAAATAAAATAAAAACTATTTTTTAAAAAAAAGACCAAGGTCCCCCTAAGGGCTTTGTACTTTTTTTGGTTTCCAAATCCCCTTTCCACTTGTGGGGAATTTTTCTCTCTGTGTGAGTGTGTATGTATATATTTTGTTATTTTTAATAAAGCTTGTTACCTGTTGTGTCTGAGATTCTTTCTGCCTATTAATTCTTTAATTTTTTTCAAAGGTTCTACATATTTATTACTGAACCAATCAATTCGCTCATGCAGAAAAGATGAAAAAAAAAAAAAGCAAATCATATTCCTAACATGACCAAATCTCCAGATTAAGAACTTTCAGTTCCATCTGATAGGCCTAATGATGACCATGATTCAGCTTCAACAGTCAGTAGTGCCGTCGTGTGGGAATCCTCATGACCAGCTTGGCTCTCCTCCAGCGTCTTCTCTTGGAGTTGTACCTAATTTATTACCAGTTTTCATCCAAATCTACTGGGTAATGGGGCAATTTTGCTTTTGTTTCTTGGCCAGGAATTGCTCGATTCTGAAAGTCTTGTGAGAACATGGTGAGAAACCACGGAGACAGGTGAACGGAGCATGATGGTGAATGAAAGAAGATTTGATTCTTTAATTAAAACAAAATGAACCTAATCGAGACCCCCAGACAGTAACATTCTCTTCAATCTTCATGCCTTCCTCCAGTTCATGGCAACCATAAATCTAGTTTCAGTATCTACAGATTTGCTTATTCTAGATATTTTATATAACTAGAATTATATGATCTGTAGTTTTTGTGACTGGCTTCATTCACTTAATATTATGTTTTCAAGAGTCCTCTATGCTGTGGCATGTGCTGGTAATTTACTTCTTTTATTGCTCAATCATGTATGCTAGTGATCTACGTACAATATTTATATGTTTATCAGTTATAGACATCTGCATTGCTTCTACTTTTTGTATTATGAATAGTGCTGCTGGTGGTGCCTTTAAGCCTAGCACTCGGGAAGAGGAGGCAGGCAGATCTCTGTGAGATCAAAGGTAGTCTGGTCTACATAGCAAGTACCAGGCCAGCTGAGGCTGCAAAGGATGACCCTGTCTCAAAACAAAACAAAACAAAATAAAACAAAACAAAACAACCAAATAGTGCTGCTATGAACATCTGTGTACAAGGTTTCATGTGGACATATATTTTAATTTCTTCTGATTATAAATCTAGTAGTGGAATTTCAGGGTCATGTGTTGGTAACTCTGTATTCAAACTTGTGAGGAGCTGACTGACTTTTTCCTGAAGCAGTATGCCATTCTGCAATTCTATCAGTAATGGATGAGATTCCAATTTGTCTACACCCTCCTTTGACCACTGTTGTTACCTGTCTTTATTATAGTCATCCTGGTGGCTATGAACTGGCACCTCATTATGATTTTGTTGAATTTACCCAGTGGCTAAAAATGTTGGCTATCTTTTCATGTTTTAGTGGCCATTTGCAAATCTTCTTTAGATAATTTTCTCTTCACATACTTAACCTATTTCTATACGGAATTATTTGTCTTTTTATCATTAAGTTATAAGAATTCTTTTTATAGTCTAGACAGAATTTCCTTATAAAGCAAATGATCTGGAAACCTCCCATTCTGTATGCTATTTTTTCACCTTTGCTTTTTTTTATTGTTTTTTGTTTTGTGGTGCTGGGGATGGAACTCAGGGCCTAAATCTTACTAGAATAAATGCTCTACCTCTACATTCTTTTCAGTTTCTTGGTAATGTCCTTTGAAGTAGTTTTTCATTTCGGTCAAGAGAGCTATAACAGCATTCTTGATCTGTGCTGAGGACTCAGGCAGGGTAGTAATTATATATTTGTGCCAATCTATGTATTTATGTCATTCAAGTAATTGATCAAAACTTTACCAACTGAGAAAAATTTGAGGGCAAGTCAGATCATTCCAGGGGATGGGATTCTAATAATATCTCTAATTGTAATTCTCTAGCTGTGTAAGGCATCTAGCCTTGGGAGAGCTAGCATGACCCAGAACTGCCTCTGAACAATCCAGAGTGATTCCTCATGCTTATTCATGAAGATGCTCTATCACAGTCTTCAGGGTTAGTGTGTTTGTACATGTATGTGTAAATATTAAATTTAAATTTTGATAATCTGCAAGTAACTTTTTTAAAAGGCAGTCATCATCTTATGTGTAGCTTTTTTTAAATTTCCATGTGAGAAAGATGAGATACATAAGTTTTAACCTTTATTTTCTTCCTTTCTGTCCTAGCTACTTGCTGGTTCAATGGAAAGCCATCAACTTGCTTGGATTTCATTCTTTAACACATCATTTTGAGTTATGTTGGCCACCAGGAACCAAAAGTAATGTGGAAGGGAGAAAACTGGAACTCTAATTTAGCATTGTACAAATAAACATGCTCTCTGCTGTGGGTGTTAAAGGTCAGGAAAGCTGGAATCTGGCAGGCTGTCAGGCAGAGGGAAGTCAAACAAATGGTTTGGGGAATGCAAACGCCCTGAGCCCAAGAAAACGAAGCTTCCTCCAGGGAAAACAGAAATTGACTACAAGTGACAAGATTTTCTCGGAAACTTAAGAACACTGCCCTCTACAAAATATCCTTTAAGGAGAATGCTGTACTTTTCAAAAAGTCCCATGTGGAAGAGAGAGCCCCACACTAAGGTCTCCACTTGGAATGGCCATTGCCTGTATAATATTTTCTGTTATTCTTAATGTCAGGCCAGAGTACTGATGTGGATGATGTGGAACTGCCTGCATATTGTGAATGCCCTGGTGAAGAATTATATGCATCAGGACAATCTAAGCATTTGTCACTAATGTGGACGCTTGGGTCCTACATCCTGGACCCACTGAATCGCAATGACAAGAAAGGATGATTCATTCAGAAGTCAAAAGTCTATGCTGAAAGCTGGGCATGCAGCTCAGTGGCAGAGTGCCTGCTTAGCCCATGTAAGGCCCTAGTTTCAATTCCCAGTGCTGAAAAAGAAGTTTGCTAAAAGATACGTGCTGGCAGTCCTTATGCATGCCTACTGAGTGCCAGGCACTGTAAGTGCCTTGGATGCATCTTCTTTTTTTTTTCTTTGATTATTTATTTAATAACCACATGTTTAGAAGAAGCATTTCATTATAGCATTATCATATTCAATAACAGTTTCCAGAGCAAAGATGCATCTCTTTCAAAATTGGCTGTAAATTTTTAGGTTCACAGTTGAATTAATACAGTTATACAATATTGAACACAGTATAAACCCTATAAGACATAAAATTGAATGAGGTTTTAACCTTTAAAAAAGATCTACATTTCATTTTAAAATATACTGTTTCATACAGACATATGAGTCTCTAATCTCTATGTATCTGATTATTACTAGTCACAGTCAGTTACTTTCTGAGATCCTTGGCGCCTGAGCATGGATATAAAGTCATTAGGTAGATTTCACCTTTATTAACATAAAGCAAATTTTTATGCTTCTTCCTCAAATATCTCATTTTTTAAATTTGTTGATTTTGTGTGTGTGTATTTCATATAGAACATCCCAAACAATCTTATTCATCTATATACCCACATCCCAAATGGCACCCTCCCATAGCCTTCCCCCGCCCATACACCAGAACCCATATACTCTGTCATCCCTGTTACTGTCCACTGTGTTGTCGGCACCCCCAGCCATTCCCCAGTGCTTGTCCATCTGCTGAATCTAGTCAGTCTTTCTAGAGTTCTTGTTTTAGGAAGATCAGGTAGGTCTCCCTCATCTAGCAGCAATCAGTTGCCAATAGTCTAATTGGAATCCACAGAATAAGCTTAATGCTATAGTCTATTTTGCCATGAGGGAAGCTGAGGCCAAGAGAGGCAGAGGGGGCTTTCCAAAAATCTTGCCAGTAGGAGGAAGTGGGTCTTGGTTTGTCTAAATTAAAAATTGCCATGTATAGATAAATATAAACAATGTATAGATAATTTATAAATCATATTCTTGGGGAATATGCCTTAATTTGCTTAACAAAATTTAATTGTTGCATTTCGGTATGTATATGGAAGGGAGGCAGGCATGGAAGGGGAGGAGGTAATGAAAGCTACATTCTTTGTCTCTCAGGAACCAAGGTAAAGGAAACAGGAAGCAAAAGGCATATATATATAAGCATTCCTCAATACTTAAGAATGATAGGAAATTTTTTAGTTAAATAAAAAATAATAATAAAGCACTAACTGAAAAAGTAGGGCATTACAGCTGTCATGGGACCTTGAAGATTAGGTTAAGAGCTTGGGGAAAGGCTTTGAGGTCATAGCTGAAGAATAAATATAAGGAAAAGCTGTCAGGATGAGACCCCATTGTCAAAGTCATGAGGACCACTGTCATGCTACAGAAAGATCATCAAGGGGCCAGCTGACCCCCAGACTAGATGTGGAGAAATCAGGGCACCTCATAAGAGGTGGTGGATCGAAAGGATAATGGGGCTTTATTTGTATTCAGCGTTGTTTAGAAGTCACCTGCTGGGAAACTGGATTAGTGCGATCATAGAATATTATAATTTGACTCTGGTTAAAGCATCTTTCTGCACTGAGCTTAATGAAGAATGGCTAATTAGCATCTTTTGAATGCAAAGGAAAAAAGGACTATGCATCAGAATTGTCTCTTCAAGTCAAAAACAAACCCCAAATAAAAATCTGGATTAATGGAATCAGAGAGCATTCAGACTTCAACCCATCAACCCTGGTGCTTTTCTTGAGCTACAGATCACTTTTTAATCATCCTTGATTCATTCATGACATATGGAGACAGCACATTTATTCTTACTGGAATCTGGGCAGAATCCCCATTTCTCATCTCGTTCATATCGGCTCGTCGTGGCACACCACAGCAGGTCATCTTTCTGCCCTTCCCGGGTACACTCATGGTGCCACTGATGGTTGTATTGGAAGGGAAACATACAAGGCATCCCGTGGGAATTCCCTTTGATGGTATATAAATCTAGGAGGAAACATTAACAGAGTCAAATAAATACACTGCTGGTTTTGTCTTTGGAAAGTGTCATCTGGTTAATGCATTTTTATTGGTTGAAAATCTCCCAGGGGCAGGCACTTGTTAAAAATCTCAGCAGCAAGCCCTCGGGGCCTCACTGTCTAGTGCGAGTAGACACTCTAGGCCTTCAGAAGTCCTGGCAAATGGTTTGCTTCTATGTTTATCTGGTTGTTTACTTACTACTGTGCCCTGCTTACTGCAGCATACACATCTGTGAATGAATGAAAAGGAAAATGTAATGGAATTTTTCCCTTTAAAATATTGACCAGGCTTCCATCAGCCATCAGTATCTAAACTCCAACAGGCTCATGGGTATTTATTAATTCATTTGGTCAATGTTGAAGAAAGTGGTTCTCCTAGCAAAATAGACACTATCTTCATCAGATCTGCTGTGCTTCCTAGCTAAGAGTCCCTCATTATCGTCAAGTGGACTGACATTTCCTCTTAGAAGGAGGGGTTAGGGAGGGACATGGGACCCTCACTGAAGTTATCTAGCTACATCTCCAGCCTTTTGTTTGTAATGTTTCCCTAATTACTCTTGGCCTCCTGTCCTCAGGGAGGGTCTGGAATTTATAGCAGGTTGGGGGTGGGGTGGCTAGGAAGCACTCCTTCTTTGTGGTCATACTGGGCGCAGACCTTTCAATATGGTTGTTTTAGGGTCACCCAACTCTCTGGCCAGTAACTCCTCACCAATGCTTTGTAAGCTCCCCAGGGGGAACTTTGGTGGAATGGAACGGATGGAACTTTGGTTTGCTTTGGAGACCTTATGAGGAGGTAGGTAGAGGGTGTTTATGTCTTCCTAAGGAAGGAATTTTCACAACTGCCAGTAAATATTTACTGAGCTCTTAGTAGGCCCTGCACTGGAGGTATAGTAGTGAACCTGTAAGAAATCCCTTTTCCTAACAAGCTAGCTTAGCCAGGAGAGAGCAAGTGAAAGCAAATAGGAAAACATGGTTTCAAGTAGAAATAAATGTCATGAAGAAAAATTAAAATAGGGTAAGAAGATGTGTGTGTGTGTGTGTGTGTGTGTGTGTGTGTGTGTTTGTGTGTGTGTGTGTGTGTGTAGGAGTGCAGAGGTGCTGCTGTGGGTAGGGTGGTCATTATAAGATCTCTTTGAATAAGAGCTAGATGAAACAGGGTGCTGGTCTGTGGAGAAGAGTTGTCCCAACAGAGGGAAGAGAATATAAAGAGCTAGAGGAGAAAATGCTTGTGGAATAAATGAGGCTCCAGGGAAGTGGAACCCAGGAAGTGCTATCTGAACCAGCTGTCAGGTACTTTGGTCTTTGCTTTGAGGGTGGTGAGAAGTCACTGGCAGTTTTCTATTGGGAAAGTGACAAAAATCAGACTCCTGTTCTTAAAATAAATTCACTGGGTACAGTGTGACACAGTCTGAATGGAGCCTTCAGACTCACAGTCTGAATGGACTGGTTGGTCAGGCTTCTACAGTGATCCAGTGAGGAAATGACATGGGAACACTGGGGTGTCTTTGAGAATGATGGAGACTTTACCCAGGAGCTAGGGTTTCAGAAACTCAGTGGCCACCAAAAGTGTCTCAAACCAATGGTTTCAAGGTTCTTGTCTGGTGTATTCTAAGAATGAAACTCACAGACCACAGAGGGCTAGCTTTCAAAAGAATCTTATTTTAGATCCAAAGGTGGGAGGGAGAGGGAAAGGGAGAGAGACAGCGGGAGGGTCCCAGGAAATAGGGTCCAGGCACCTGCTAGTCTGGGTTTTTTTTTAAAGGACTTATCACAGAAAGTGGGAGGAGGCATGGGGAGGGAGATGAGCTGGTCAGTCCAGTTGACTTAACCCCAAGGTTTCCAGGTGTCTCTTCTCTCACACAGTCACATACAGCCTCTAGGCAGAGGGAGGTTCTCACTTAGGAGATAGCAACCAAACAGAAACCAAAGGTCTTCTGGCATTCCTGGCCATTCTCAGAACTGCTATTTCAGGTCCCTGCCCTGCTACATCAGTTTCTATTACCTGGTTTCATCATGGTGACCACACAGAGAGCTTTGTTGCCTGCTGACTCAAAATATTGGCCTTAAGCAGCAATCAACAACACTGCTCATATTCAACTGGGGTTTTCTATGATGAGGTGTCAGGGTCATACTCAGTGAAGTCATTAAGTCTTAGACAAAAGGGCCAGCTGTGAGATTACCACAGCTTCTCACAATTGCCAGGGGCAGGACTGAGTCATAGCACATTGCCAGCTTTTTAGAAATTAGATGTATTCTAGGACACAGCCTTTTCTTTCAGTCTCCTGGATTCTACTCAGAAACACCTGTTGCTCTGTCTTCACCCACGTGTAACGTCAGTGTGGATATATGGCGAAATGGTAGCAGAAAGCCAATACCTGAGAACTGCAGGGTTGTCAGAATGCTGGTTTGCACCCCTTGCTTTATCATAGGGAACCAGTACAGAAAATGTCTTGATCTTGGCCTTGACTCTTTCCACTCATTCCTTGTAGCAACAGAAGGCCCCGCCTTAGGGAGGAGTTCCTTATTGTGTGACCAATGACTGGTACCAGGTTCTTAGGAGGCTTAATTCTACCAACCACCACGAGGAGAGGAACCAAATCTGCCTCGGCCTTTGTAAGCCAGGTGCCTAGCATGGTACTTGATGAACAGTCGGTGCTCAGAAAACGTGTGCCAGATGGATGGATGGGAGTGTGTATGTATGAATGAAGTATAGAAGGACAGAGCTGTGGTGTCAGAATTTAACTGTGTAGCTTTTTTTTTATCTTCTATTCTTTTTCTGTTTAAAAAAAATAACAGAACTGTGGAAAATGAAAGTCCTCCTACAAATCATGCCTCCCCACAATCCATGCTTGGTACACAACAAATAACCCCTGACAATAGGGTGTCATTTATCTTTCAGTGTCTTGTAGCATGACTGTTACACTTGAGAGCCCCAGAGACATCCCCCTTCCCAGGTGGGGCAGAGTTTCCACAATCAGAGAAATGGCCGCAAGGCAGGGATTTTATGTCTGTCAGTCAGAAGCCTTTCCTTCGAATCTTTCCCTTGGTTTTTTTTTCCTGTCTCTACCTTTTGTCCTTTCTTTTCTTTCCAGGATTCCCAAAGCTAGTGGAGTTTTTTGTTTTGTTTTGTTTTTTTCCTTCAATGTCTTTGCATTTTGAGATTGCTGCCTCTATAGCAGAATTAGCACATCCATTCTAAAACTCCAGTAATTCTTTTACCACAAACAAGGAAGCTATTAACATTTCCCAGAAGTCCCTTGACTTCACAGACTCTTTGTACTCCTTTCACACAATGGAATTGCAAAATTATTACTTATGGACAACCTTCTAAACAGTATATACATACATGATTACTTTAATTTCAATGACTTTTACCTTTGTGAAGATGTTCACAGATGTCTCCACCTCCTGACATGTAAGAGATCCACTTATGAAGCTGTTTCCATGAGGCCACCACCGTGTGGTCATGCTTCACCTGGACCTTGTACTGGAGTGGGCCCATGAGCATCTTCCCGTTACAGTGCCATCTCAAGGAAACGTGAGTAGAATCACATTCGTATATGCCTAATGGCTGTTCTGGATTAGATAAATTCAGGCCTAGGCAGCCACTGCCTCCCACATTAAAGAGGTGGTTGTTTGAAACCCATTTCCACAGCATGTATGTGTTTGGCTGTTTGCAGTTCTCTAGGGTCAGTAAAGATTTGCCTGCTTGAATGCATGTCTTCAGGCTCTCACTCTGTATAATGAAAATTCCTTTATCTATAACAGAAGAAACAAAAGACAGGGTATGCAATATTCCTGTATAATTATCTAGGGTTATGATGATCCCAGTGTGTGTACCTCAGCTGTGATAAGTCACACCTGCCAGTCATTTCAGAGCCAAGAGATAGGGTCTACCAGAAGGTCTTAATTTGCACAAAGCAGGAGTTGCCCGGAAAGCATAAGAGGTCTTCCTGGCACTAATGGGAGACCACTGATCTAAGAGCCCCTTGGGCATGAATGAAAATGGCTACCTGTCAATCACTCGACAGTAATGAAAGAAGGGTCTCATAATAATAACTATATAGAGAGCAACAATGCTCAGGGCCAGTGAAAGGGACACTGGGTATCCAGGGTGTGGCAATAATTTTTTTTTCCTTCAGGCAAATTCTTCAGGGTTCAGAACAGGGCAACTTAGTCAACAGCCATCAGAATGAAAATCTCTACCATGATGTTCCTGCAGAAAACCATGAGGTAATGATGTAACCAAAAGTGCTGCTGTGGGTCCATTTAATAGAGAATTCAGTGCTGGTAAGAGCTTAATGCTGCTGAACTTTGCTTTCTGTCTGGATCCATTAAGGACTGGGAAGGTGGTGACATCTGACTTTGGGGATGGATTCTTATCAGGAGTAGCCTTCTGGGGTGTGGCTGGTGGCAGCAGGTGAATGGCAAACACTTAGATACAAGCGAGGTATGGACCACTGTGAAGAAGCCACAAGGACATGAGGAGAAAGTAGCCTTTTGCAATATTCTCACGAGTTCTTCCCATTCGGGGCTAGGCTCCTGTGAACAAGCTGGTGGGATCCAGCCAGAAAACACATGTCAGCTTCCTTCTTCTGGCATGCTTTATCTCAAGCTTGCTGGCCTAGCAGTCACCTGTTTCACAATAACTATGTCCGTGCTTTCACACAGGTTTTCTGAAGATGATAATTGTTTCTTATTTCTTTGGTCTGAGCACAGAGTATACTGAGCACATCTAAGTTCAGTAAGTGCTTGATGCAAATTGGACATGTTGGCTGCTGCTGCTAAGAAAGGCCCGTGGTGGCTACAGTGGCCCTTGTTCAGAATGTCTGGTCCTGTCCACAAACTCTTTTGTCCTCCCCTTAAACAGACTCCCATCTTGTATTTTGCCTCCTGTATATTCTTCAAAACTCTGACAGGACATTACCAGGTTCTTTAAAATGATTGCGTTTAGGGAAGTTTGTGTCATATAGGAGGGACAGAGTGGGGACAGGCAGAGCCATTGAGAGATTTAAAACAGTGCAGAATGAACCTCCTCAGCCATGGGTATGAGGCTATAGTGCCTCCTTTTGGGAAAGTCCTTTCTGTTTCTCCCAAACTAATCAGGCAGAGGAGAACTGATTTATAGTAACTCAAACCACTTAAGAGACTGTTAAAAATATTGTCAGTGTATTAATGAAAGTCATACCTCATTTAATAATTGATAACCTTTCTTATAACCATGTGTTTGAGGTGTTAAATTAGTTGTCAAAAAAAAAATGCTTTGATTTCCATACATCAGAGCAGAAGACAGGGGAGTGGCAGTGCTGGGTGGGTTAGAATGAACAGTTTTAGGGAGATTTCATTTAGATCAGGAAATTTGTTTTCCTAATGAAGGCCATGTCTAGGTGATTATTAGTATAGTCATTCAAAATCAAATTCACCTCTCATCAATGAGATATGGACTCTGATAATTAACCTTCATCTGACCCTCCTTTTCACCTTTTCATGCCTGGACAGAATGTTAGCCTTAATTTCTGTTGTAATCTACTAATTGCTTTCTAGCTAGCTCAGAGTTTCATTAATTTTTCATTAAAGGGTAATTATTTTACTATGATGGTTCTATAGCTTGCCTCCGTCTAATATACATATTCAAATATATGGAGCTCTGATATCTACTGACTGCATCTTATGCATCTGAGACAGGCAGACAGAGGAACTGGCTAGTGGTTAAGCACTCTGGACACAGGTGGACCCACCACAAACCAGCTATGAAACTCTGGGTGAACGACTTGACCTCTGGAGCCTCATTTTCCCTCTTTGAACTGGGACTATGTATGATACTAATCTCTTAAGGATATTAATAATAGTGTATTAAACAAGCCCATGCAAAACTATCATTGGAAGTGGAAAGACCTCAGTAAACATGAATTATTATTAGCATCCCTCAAACTTCTCGATTCTTGGTGTACAGATCTGTAGCTCTGGTTGAACACTACTCTGATCGATCTCCAAAGACATTTTTTTCTTCAGCTTTAGCATGAAAACTTAGTTTTACTTTTGTTTTATTCACACGCAGTGGGGACAAAACAATCCTGAGACAATATTCTATCCCCCCTTTATATAGGAAACACACTCTCTAAATAACAAGATTAAAAAAAATCCTTTGCACTTATTTAAGTACATGTACAATTACTAATGATTATTTCATTCATTGTTCTTCTACAGTCTGTACTTCAGGTTTTTTTGTTTGTTTGGTTTTTTTTGGGGTTTTTTTTTTTTTTTTTTGTTATAATTCTTCTATGCTCAGTTAATGAAAGGTTGTACAGTAGATAGGAACAGCAAGAATCAATGATTATTTAACAAGTAATAAACTGAGTGCAGCCAAACACACTCGTCACCGGAAGTCTTATTCTGCTCTCTGAAGCGAGCATGGCAGAGCGAGTTTATTTAATTAGAAGCTGTTTTCACTGGAAGCCTTCCAAGAAGTATATGGGTGGTGGGATGGGTGGCCTTTGAATAACTGGACAATGAAATTGTATAGCCCTAGTATTTGGAGTGAAAAACAATGCTTTAAATTTCTAAATTAATACATGTTAAGAAGAAAAGCATGGTGGAATCAGAATTGATGTAGTTACACCAGTAATCACAAAAATCCTTTCCAAAGCATAAGATGCTACTAAGTAAACCTCATCCATGCTGCTCAGTTCTGGGTGTTAGGACATTTCCATGACAGCTTCCTTAGGCGCAGCTTTGCTTTGTCCGTGTGTCATAAGCAAGTGGTGGTAGCTCACCTAGACGAATGAGCAAGCATGCTGCCTCTAAATTAGCTAAACTAACATGTGACTAGAGCCCAGAGCCCATTTCCCCACCAAGCTATAATAGGATCTGATTCTAACGCTTCATCTGTCTGTCTGTCTGTTGTCTGTCTGTCTATTTATTAGAGGCAGGGTTTTGTTATGTAGTACGGTCTAGCCTTGAACCCCTCCCCCGATCTTTTTGCTTCAGCCTCTTGATGACTGAGATTAGAGGTATGAACTACCACATCTGGCTTCCAGCACCAGTAATTTCTGTGGATTTGATAACAAGGAAGCAATCTTCCGATACACCACAAGGAGACCCACTGTAGGCATCACTGTTCTGTTTGCTGTTATGCTCACATATGAGTTGGCCCTAACAATAATAAATAGGCTGCTAATCCTTACTGTGTGTAGCTGTTGGATTTCAAAAAGAATGAAAATCAAATGTGGGAAGAATCAAGATTGATTATATATGTCAAGGGCATCAGTTCTGCTTGAACACTGATGAAGTGATTAATGAGGCAGCTCTTTGCAGGGAAGTGTTATCTACTTCCCTTCCTAATTATAAGTTTGGGTGGAGATGAAGGAGTATGAATTTACTAGAAGAAACTTATGAGCTAATTTCCATCCTTTAAAAAAACATGGAAGACTTCTGTTTTTTGTTTCTGACTTTCTCCTGAAGAACATTTCAGACTCATTTTTCTTCCCTCTAAGCAAACATGTACTTTTCTAAGGAGTGGGAAGAGGGTGTTGGCTTGATCAACTATTCAACTTGAGTTAGGGTATTCTTCATGACTGTCTGGAGAACATTCATTCATTCATTCATTCATATATATATTCATTGGTGCTGTGTGGGAAGCACTGTGCACAGGTTAGAGACAGAGGAATTATTAGTCTATCTGTCCATTGAAACTGTCAAGCTGTTTGTTCTGTAATCTTGAGAATTTGCTTCTATAATGAAAAGAAGAAAGTTCTAATAATAATAAAGAAATACTACTATAATTACACTCAAAATAAGCCCGAAGAGACAAATGACAAAAATAAGAACAAGATAAAGAAAATGGATCATACATAAAGACAATTGAGTGGACCCTCAGCTGATGCCTTGCAGGGAAGCAGACAGGAGTGTGTGCTCGTGTTCGTGCCCATTTCCCAGGGAAGACAAGTTGAACAGGGCTGGATAGAACATGAGACAACAGCAGAGACTAACTTTACCGATTGTTTTGGTTAGTTTTTGTCAACTTGACACAAACTAGAGTTACCTAGAAAGAGGGAACCTTAACTGAGGAATTTTCTTCATCAGATTAGTCTGTAGGGCATTTTTTTAAAATTACAAATCGATGTAGGAGGGCCCAGCCCACTGTGGGTGGAGCCACCTCTGGGCAGGTGGGCCTGGGCTATATAAGAAAGGTAGCTGAGTAAGCCAGAGGAAGCAAACCTGTAAGCAGTGTTCTTCTGTGGTCTCTGCTTCAGTTCCTGCCTCCAGGTTCTGCTTTGAGCTCTTACCCTGGCATCCATCAATGACAGACTGTAAACTGTAAGGCAAGATAAACCTTTTCCTTCTTGAGTTGCCTTTGGTCAAGGTGTTTATCACAGCAACAGAAAACAAACTAGGATACCCATAAACCCAGAACTATGAACTTCAGATCTGGGTGGGACTGAACCATCAGATATAAGCATCATGGGCTAAAAGGAATTATTTTGGTTCAGAATATCAGAGAATCAAATAGCACTCACATTTTCACCCAAAAACACTGCCTAGGGACCTAATATTTGTAGCAAAGGTGATACACTGGTCCTGAGTAGATGCCTCTGCTTGTTTAGAATTGCAGGGAGGTGAGGCCATCAATAGGTGGAGAGGGGTCTTGTAAAGGGGATGTTCTAGACACAGAGAATGTCACTAATGTTCAGAGATAATGAAAACAGTCAGTCTTAGGGTAATGACAGCCTTGCTGTATAGAAAATTTTTACAAGTAGAAG